ACCGTGCTCAGCAAGGGGGCGGGAGCCGGTTTGTTTGTGGGATCCGAGCCCTCGGCGGGAGCGCCGCCGCGCTTCCCAAGCGGTGCACTGTAGCAGTGCGCCACCGGGCCGGCCCCATAGCTAATAATCTTGATAGCTTTAAGTTTATTAGTATAGAAGCATGATTTAGAACTCTGTAGAGAACTCCAATGTGAAAAGTATAAGTGGGTCTAGGTTTTGTTGTTTCTTGATTAAAAAAAAAAAAGATTTATATCTAAAAGGATTCCTGTCTTGTGATGCTGTTTGGCCATCCATCCATCCTGTCCATTCAACATTTTTTGATAACCTATTTTATGTTATGCCAAATATCATTTTAACACCTAAGAATAAAATCTTTTTGCTTTCATTTTCTCCTTTACCTTCGCCCAATATATTACATGGGCTTCAATCAGGGAAGCAAAACCAGTATGAGTATTACAAAATAAGGGATTTTTTTATAGGACTAAACTTAATTATAGGAGAAGATGGAGAAGAAAGGGTCTGAAAGGAGAAGTCACTAATGCACCCTCTGAAGCATGGGTCTAGGTGGACACATGGGAATTTACCTGGGAATCTGGGAACCCAGGCCCTACCACCTTTAGGGTGGGCCCGTGAAGGAGAGCTGGTGTAGTCTAGCAGGGTTGGCAGTCAAGAAGAGAGCTGGTGGCTGAGTGGGAGAGAGTGAGGATCAGTGGGACCTATGGGTACCTCTTCACCTGATGCCACCCCAGGCTTGGTGACCTTCAGAGCAGCGTGGCAACTGCTCCAGTTCCACCTTCCTGTCTGGTGTGAGTTCCTCTCTTGGCCTTGCCTACCTTGGAACAATGCTGGGAAGGGGATTCCGTTTAAATATAGTTCCCCTTAGCCAAGTTGACACAGCACAAAACCACTATGTACCTTCGATGTATTTTTTCAGGCTGTAACCAGAGTAATTCTTCTTGAGAACAAAACTGATGTCATGTCCCTTCTGAAAAACCCTTAATTGCTCTTCATGCAGATAGATTCCAAAGTTCTAATCACTTAAAGGACACCACAAGATCTGGCTCCTGCTGACCTCTGCAGTTCTCACCTCCACTTTGCACGCTGGCTGTACTGAGCTACTTAGACCCACTGTGTGGCCGCTTGTCTCTCCTTGGGCCTCTGCACTTGCTCTCCCTCCAACCCCGGGCTTGAAATAAACTTCCAGATTCTTCTGTCATTTCGCCTGCTTGATGTCACTTCATATGGGACATTTCTTGATCCCTGGATTAAGTGCTTCTCCTCTGGATTCCTATAGGACCTTTTGCTGGCAACCCTGTCCTACCACTTAGGTATTGCTGTTGGCCATCCTGCTAACTGTAAGCTCCATGAGGGCAGCATACGTAGAGAAAAGGGAGGACCTTCTGACTTTAAGGAGCTCACAGTTTAATGGGAAAATTAGACATGTACAAAAAATTATTATTGACAGTATAGTAGAGAAGAGAATAAAGTACTCTGAGATGTGTGGGGGAGTCTTCATAGATAGGTGACACTTTGGAATTCACTAAAGGGTGGGGAAGAATTTCCAGCTAGAGAAAGGGAGAGGATAAGGGATGAGGAAGGGGTAAAGACATTCCAAGCAGAGGGAGCAGCAGGGACCAGGGTGATCCTACATTCAGGAGATGGTTGGAGGTGGAGCAGGTGGAGGGCATGGTAAGAGACCAGTGGTGAGATGAAGCCGGAGAAGTAGGTTAAGCCAGCTTGTTGGACCAAGTACTGAGACTTATGGTGAAGGGAGCTGAGGGCTTCTGAGATCTGGGCAGAGGCAGTGGGCATGAAGCAGAGGGTTCTGTTCAAGACAGATGTTTGAGGGAGAACTGGCAGGACCTTACTTCTGGATGAAAGGGTGAAGGACAGACAGCAAGGAGCTGAGATCTGTAGCTTTAGAGGCTAGATGTCGGAAACAGTACTGATATTAAGGAGCTAGACTTATGCAGGAAGAGAAAAAGGCCTCGTGGAGATATGGCGTTCAGTAAACATATGCCTGTCCCTGCACGCATGGCCTAGTGCAGTATTGGTATTAGTATTAGGCTTTGGGATTTATGTAATGATTCAGTTAAGGTAACGATTCAGTTAAGAGAATAAATGAGGGCAATTAGCGAATATGGATGTTTAGGAAAAAGTGGGAATGCAACAGAGCTTTATCATTGTATCTGCACTAAAAAGAAATACAGTTATTTAGGGTAGTGCTCTTAATCCAAATTCTACTACAGACTAAGAAACTGTGGTGAATGCAACAGAGCTTTATCATTGTATCTGCACTAAAAAGAAATACAGTTATTTAGGGTAGTACTCTTAATCCAAATTCTACTACAGACTAAGAAACTGTGGATATTCTCTCCTACTTTCCAGGAATGAGGGCAGGTGGAGATAGGAAGAAAGTGCACTTGGGACATATGTGTTGTAGCAGAGAAGCAGGCAGGCGAGGGTGCCAGGCGTCGGCACTCGGCACTTAGCACTCAGCATGGCTCCTGATACATGGAAGGCACTCAAGGAGTATTTGTTGAATAACTGTGCTGAAAAATGAAGTGGTTAAAAAAAAAAGCCCCTGTACCAAAAGATGGGAAGAACCGGTCTTGCAGACAAGTTCAAAATCTTTACAAGACCAGTAATAGTTTAGTCATATGGTCCAAGAGCAGAGAGCCTCACTGGATAAGGGAGTTGGCACTTTTTGAATTTGTTTTTATTCAGGATGGGCTCTGCCTAATTTTCTCTCTGTGGACTGACATAAACATGTGTGTGCCCTAGACCACACACTGTCCACAGGGAACAGTATAATTGTTTACTAGAACCTCTAAATCCATAAGATGAGAGGCTTTAAATCCACATGATGAGAGATTCTTACTTAAACTCATTTGGGATTTAGAAGAATATCTTCATATTTGTTGAAACGTGTGGGATTGAGTATACACACGGCTTTGTGAATCCAGTACATACCCATCACTCATTGTCAATTTGTCTTATAGTTCTTAATACCAAACTCATCCTATGAACTCCTTGATCTCCTCTGCATAAATGCAGTCTTTTTTCTCAAAAATCAGTATGTATTGTTCATATTTATTGGTCATTTCAAACTAAGGCTCATTGGAATGCACTTATTTACTACTGGACAGAGTAATTCCCAGCCACTTTTGACATGTCCTTGTATGTCCCCGTGCTCCAGCAAGTCAGATGCCTCTCAGTAGGTTGCAGTGACGACTAATTTGTATTAATTTTTTTTTATTATCTCTTCAATTAAAAAATTTCTACCCCCAACCCCATCCCCTTTTCAAAAATTCTCTCCCAACAGCGAAAAGACAAACTGCGGGAACACATGCAAAGGATGCATAATCCTGAGAGGGAGGCCAAGAAAGCTGACCGCATCAGCCGCTCCAAGACGTTCAAGCCTCGCATCACGTCCACAGACTACGACAGCTTCACGTTCAAGTGCCGCCTGTGCATGATGGGCTTCCGGCGGCGGGGCATGCTGGTCAGTGCACACGGCCGCATATTCCTCTGCCTTGCAGCCCCACCTCATATCTGTTGATGATGATGGCTTTTGAGTTATACTCTGTGCTCAGCTACATTTGTCAGTAGGTTTTGTTCATGGCTGTGGAGGAAACAGAGGCAAACAGTTCCCAGTTTGAAGTTTTCTCCCTTCCAATCTCCCTTTGCCTTTCTTTACCACTGCTCAGGAGACTTCTTGGAAGAGGTCTTTTTCTACCACGTTTTGCGACTAGATTTTCTTTACTCTTCGCAATCTTTACTCCTATCCTATTTTATTTCCCTCTTCTCTTTTGTGTTCTTGAATATACTTTCTGGTTGGGTCTTAGCCTTCTCTCTGACTATTCTGTTTTAATGCCTCGCTTTTCCAGATATAAAACAGCAATAGAAGGGAGCTTTTCATTAAAGCAGGGTATGTGAACCTGTGTTAGCAGAAACATGGGGACAGCCAATTCACTGCTTTCAACTCATTTTGACCTTGTTAACAATTGCCAGGAGCTGGAAAGTCACAGAGCAATATTTAAAATTCAGAACTTTAGTTTGTATCTCATTCAATGTTCTCAGTAAGGCTAGGGCAATAAGTAATGAAAGACAGGTTTGCTTCAGGAGAATTCACTCAAGAAATTTATTCTAGTGTAATTTTCCTTTTTCCAACAGTAGTTCTTTCAGTCAAAGATTGTTGATGGGATCCAATTCACCTTCAGTTATTTGCTGAAGTACTGTTAGCTCCTGTTACTGTTAAGGCTTTGGTGTCAGATCAGTCTGGTGATGCTGGTTCTGGCCAAACACCTTATGGTTTGGAGCATTGCTTGAGAGAATTTCAACTTTGAGCAGTCATTATCAGAGGCATTTGTTTAGCTTCTGTTTGTAATGGGGTCTCTTTTTCTCCTTTGTTTTCACATTAGGTAAATCACTTATCAAAGAGGCACCCAGACATGAAGATAGAAGAGGTGCCAGAGTTAACTCTACCCATCATCAAACCCAACCGTGATTACTTTTGTCAGTATTGTGATAAGGTAAAAGGAACATATCCATACTGGTATGCTGCTGTGGTAGCCCTGCTTAGAGCTGATTTGTCTGCGTGTGTAAATATGTGCTAGGATGTTGCAGTGACTCTTAGCAGATGGATCCCTGTCTTTTAGTAGTTTTCCATTCAGACAAGAAAGGGCTAGAGATGCAGCCTCATTTTAAGCCAAATTTTTTTCCCTAAGAATTAGTTGACTGTTTTTCTCATTGTCCCTTCTCTCTGTAATCTTTGTTATGAAAGAAGAGACTTACTACTAAGAGCTTAGTTTGTGAATTCATTTTAAACTCCTAGGCTCTAAAATGAGCGTGTTTGTCATCTTACTTGTAAAATATATGGTAGATTTTGGGTTTCTAGAAGACAGAGTGGGACGTGACAAGTTTTGTGGTGGAGTACTCTACTTGTACTATTCTGTTCTTTATTTTTGTGCAGTTACAAAAAAAGAAAGATAATATACGTTTGTTTTATTGTAATACTGTTTCTTAAATAATATGGCTATGTCAGCTTAAAAGTAAGAAATATTTTTTAAACATGAAGGTATTAGTTTCTACTAAATTTGCCATTTGGAAGATTCTTTGGCTCCTAGTAGTCAGCTATATACGTCCTGTTTTAGTCCATTTTGTGTTGCTCTGACAGAATTACCTGAGACTGGGTAATTTATAAAGGAAAGTGGTTTATTTGGCTTATGTTTCTGGGACAGCTGCATCTGGCACGGGCCTCAGGCTGCTTCTACTCATGGCGGAAAGTGGCAGGGACAAGCAGATCATATGGCGAGAGGAAGCAAGAGAGAGAGAGAAGGTGCCAGGGTCTTTTTAAGCAACGAGCTCTCGCAGGAACATTAGCAAGAACTCACTCATTAATTCCCCCTCCCCCAGAGAGAGCATTAATCCATTCATGAGGATCCGCCCCCATGACTCAATCAGTTTCCAACACTGCCACACTGGAGATCAAATCTCCACATGGGTTTTGGAGGGGACGACACATCCAAACTCCATCACCTCCCATGAGAGCTTCACAGACAGGGTAGAGGATAAACTGGCCTTAAAAACAATTTTATTTTTGTGTGTTTATCTACCTTTTAAACTTTAGGGTAAAGGGCATTTTTACAGTTACTATCTTAAATATGTAAGTTCAAGGAAGATGCCTAGCATATATATATTACATTCTTTTATGCTAATGTGTGGTGTATCCTGATTATCCTTTAGTTGATCTGTTAATCTATTTTATTTTGGACTACATGAACACTTTTTCTCATTTCCTTATAATGAAATTGTTAAATAGTTTGCTTTAAGCGAGAACGTGGAACCGTGTACTGCTTTCATGGCAAAGCATTTGAATTTGCAGGTTTATAAAAGTGCCAGCAAGCGTAAAGCCCATATTCTGAAGAACCATCCAGGAGCCGAGCTCCCACCAAGCATTCGGAAACTTCGCCCCGCTGGTCCTGGAGAGCCAGACCCCATGCTGAGCACCCACACCCAGCTGACGGGCACCATAGCCACCCCTCCTGTCTGCTGCCCTCACTGCTCCAAACAGTATAGCAGCAAGGTATGAGGAAGGTTCCGGACTAAATCTGAGGGCCAAAGCACTGTGAAAGGAATCTTGTAAGAGAGGATAGCTGCTTCTGAATTGATGGCTGCCAAAAGAGATGTTATTTTAGTTCCTGTAAACAGGGACTGTAAGCACAGAATGGGAAGAGGCATTGTGGACTTCCCCCAGGATTAGTGCCCTGTATGAATAGCCTGCACACTTGACTGTTTTCCTTTGCCCTCAGTCTGCTAAGGGCCTCACACTTGAATATTCTGTGCTTATAGTTTAGAGCTCATGTTTATGGAAGCACAACATTTGCACGTAAATGGTGGTTCTTGAAAAGGGGGTCATTTTTTCTGTGGGGACTGTGATTGCTTCCTGCAGGTGTTGGTGGGCGTGGGGGGCGCTGTGAGGTACTTGGACTCTGCTTGTGGTGTAGGCCCCATGAGTTTTACTCTCTTTTCAGCCCTCTTCTCTTTTTTCCGTTCATAGCATTGTCCAGTTTAAGAAGTGCAGTCATAGCATCAGTGTTGCTCTGATTTTTTTTTAAAGGCACAAGATAAAGGACTTTAGGAATTTTTAAAGGGTTTGCATACAAGAAAAAATGAAAATAATTAATTCTAGTAATTATTTTTGGTTTTTGTCTTAATTCTTCAGACCAAGATGGTCCAACACATTCGAAAGAAGCATCCGGAGTATGCCCAGCTCCCTAACACCATACATACACCATTGACAACAGCTGTGATAAGTGCCACCCCAGCTGTGTTAACGACAGATAGTGCCACTGGAGAGACCGTGGTGGTGAGTGTATGACGGGAAGAGCATTTTGTTTCCTTCTGTGCCCATCATATCTTTAAGTGCCAAAGCCATGTCTATCTTGTTATTTAGTTGTCTGCAAATGTAGCTCATTATCCTTCAGTTTTCCACACAGGGCATTCTGCATATAATTGGATCTCCTAGTTGGTACTTTCCAAAGCTCTCTGTAAAAGGGGTAGTGAAAAATTGTCAGTGCTGCTTGTTCACTACAAGATGGTCAGAACCTCTAGGGCAGCTCCACTGGGTCAGAGCCAGTCAGATATAGATATGGATATAGAGGTCATGTTCTGACACCTTCTCGTCCTCAGATTTTTTTTCTCTCTGGGCTCAGGGCTAATGTGTAGCTCATTAATCCACCAGTGAGACAAACTAAATTTTAGTAGGATTTAGGAGCACTGAAATTGCTATAAACAAGTGTTCCCAACTCGTGTGTTCTGTGTGATTTTTTTCTAGACAACAGACCTGCTAACCCAAGCAATGACAGAACTGTCCCAGACCTTAACAACAGATTACCGAACGCCACAAGGAGACTACCAGAGAATTCAGTATATCCCTGTGTCACAGTCTGCGTCTGGTCTCCAGCAACCTCAGCATATCCAGCTTCAAGTGGTGCAAGTGGCCCCGGTACTGTGTTATGTTTGTCTCTCTTTACCTTTATGAATGCCATCCTGCTGTCAGCCAATACAGTAGCTGGAGTCAACAAAAGCACCCTATTCTCAGAGCTGGAATTGGGCTCTACATAATGGGCTTCTGCATGGAAATAAGATATACTACCCACCCTGATGAAGGCTTTGGACTGAGCAGTGTAACAGATTTCCATCTATAGTAGTCAGCAGATTTTAGGGCCAAGCATATACAAGTCATCCTGTACTAGTGGAGCTGCCTTCTGAGCCTCTTTTAAATCCTTATCCTTAACATCCAGGCTGACTACTTGATAATGAGCCAGTTTAATAAAACCCTACCTGGGCATCAAATGACTTATATCAGTGAGAGGTTGTAAAGAATAATTTTTACTTGCTGTCTGAATATCAGTCAGTACCTTTTCAGTAAAGAGGTACAACTATGTTCCCTCTACCAGATAACGAGTAGCTCATTCTTACTAATTAGGGAGTTAAAAGAAGGAATCCTCCCAGAAGTATTGTTTCATTTAATTACGCTGAGGAAATACACTCAAGGCACAAATGAAGGAGTGTTGCTTTGAAACAATTTGGTCTCTGAAAAATAAAAACTAACATGGGAACAGGACATTGGAAGTTACCACCATCACTGACTAGTCTTTATCTTGTTTTTCTTACGGGAAGGTTCTTAACTTTAGGCTTTAGAGGAATCTATGAGTCCCTGAAATTGCCTGTAAAACATGATGTATATGTTCATTGCTCTGGAAAAAGGGTCTGTACTTTAGCAAGATTTTCAGAGATGTCTGTGATACATAAAAGGTTAGGAACGACTGTTGTAGTGGGTTAATAGTGGCAAACTCAAAGCAAATTCTCTTCTTGATCTCTTAACTGGTAAAGGATAGGTCATAAATTTAACTGAAATTTGAGGGAAAAAGATTTTTGATTTTTGGGAGCTTGTCTTTCAGCTCATTATTAGGGACTATATTCCTCTCTCTCCTCTTCCAGAATTTAATAATATTAGTGGCTAATTTTGTTAACTCTACTTTTCTCAGTGCTTGGCCAGCTTGGCTTAGGTGTGGGCTTTCTGGGAGTGTAGCAGTGGATTTGTCTGTTCTTCTGATACTGTTTTTAACTGAACCTTTTCTCTGGAAGGATTTCCCTTAACCTCGATCAATGTGTGTTTGGTCTCTGGGCCTGTGTTTTCTCCCTCCAGGCCACCTCCCCTCACCAGTCTCAGCAGTCCACGGTGGACGTCGGCCAGCTCCATGACCCTCAGACCTACACCCAGCACGCCATCCAGGTGCAGCACATCCAGGTGACTGAGCCCCCCACCTCAGCCCCGGCACCCTCCCAGGTACACTTCCCCATAGACTATGCAGAGGTGTCAGTATGAACTTGGGGACTGTGAGAGTTAGTAGCAGTGGAAGACATTATCGTTAGACGTAGTCTCCTCAGCTATTGAGGTGATATCGTTATTTTTTGACCTTAATTAAAAAGCCTTGCCTTTTCCTCCAATTTTTATATTGGTATTGTGGACACTTACATTAAGTTATTAGCTTCTATTGTTCGAATGGTGCCCTGCGATATGATATCCTAGAAACAACATTGACCTTTGCTTCCTATCCTAAATGCACTTGCTGAGCTGCTTCTGTGATTTGGAACAGTGACTCTGTGGAGTATTATTGTGTATTGTGTATTATTGTATTTGTTTGATTGAACCTTTTATTGAGATATACGAAGGTATTTCAAAAAGATCATGGAAAAATAGAATTAAAAGATAATACAAATCTTTCCATGAACTTTTGAGGTACCCTCATATAGATAAGTTGTGGGGGTTCAGAGGAGTGGGAGATTGTGTTTAGCAGGGAATCAAGGGTATTTTTGTAGAATTGGTCTTTGAATTAGGTGTTGAAGGAGGGGTACAATTTCGACATGGTAGATGGGGGAGGCACTATGATCTGAACAAGCTCACATTGTGAGTAAAGACAAAGAGGTGGGAAATGGGGTACATTTGCAAAAAACTGTGAGTTTTCCTGTTTAGTTTAGTAATAGGAAATGATGTTTGAAAAGAAAGTTGGAAAGGTAGTTTGGAGCTGAATTACGGAGGGCCTTGAATGGTGGGCTATTGAATATGGGCTTTATCCTGCAGTCAGGAGTAAGTCTGCACCAGCTGTCTGAATGTGCACGTGTGCCTAAGTCCATGAACTGGGAGGGACTATCCAGTGCAATTTAATGGAAATTATGACTTCTGGGTTCTATTTCAATTTGTGTTCCAGATTACCTTTGTGACATAGGCAAGTCATTTCACCTCCCAAATTTTTAAACCTTATGTAATGTAGGTAATTATACTTTCATTTATCTTTCTAATAAGTTTATTGAAATTAACTTTTTGGATACTCTTCTACAGAATCCTTTTAAAACGAGAGAATTTCATAGTTATGTTTGCTTTTCATTAACTCTATTCTTATTTAAAATACAGTCATCCCTCAGTATCCGTGGGGGATTGGTTCCAGGACCTCCCTCCAGTACTAAAATTTAATGATTAAGTCCCTGATATAAAATGGCATAGTATGTGCATTTAACCTACGCATATCCTCCCATATACTTTAAATCACCTCTAGATTACTTATAATATCTAATACAATGTAAATGCTATGTAAATAGTTGTTATACTGCACTGTTTAGGGAATAATGATGAGAATATAAAAAAGTCTGTACATGTTCAGTACAGATACAATTATATTTTTGATCCGGGGTGGTTGAATACACGGATGCAGAACCCATAGATATGGAGGGCTGACTGTATTATTACTTTAGCCATGAGACTTTCAGTATTATAATTCATATTAGTCTGATTAATTTCCTTCAGTTATTTGTAAGTTTTAGCTCTACTGGAAATTCATAATTTCCCACTCTGGCTTTCTGTTTCTCCCTAGGTAGCTGGGCAGCCGTTGAGTCCCTCTGCCCAGCAGGCTCAGCAGGAGCTCAGCCCGTCCCGTATACCAGGAAGCTCTTCCACACAGGGGCAGGCGCTGCAGCAGCAGCAGCAGCAGCAGAGTTCCTCTGTACAACACACATACCTGCCCAACGCTTGGAACTCCTTCCGTGGCTATTGTAAGTAAGAGAAAAGGGGACACTGCTGTGTGAGTCATGAGTGGGTGATCTCCAGCCATGTGTCGTAATTTCATCAGCTTTATAAAACATTTTTGGATTAAAATTTCAAGTGGCCATTTTCTGTATTCTGTAGTGCATGTTCTTGAATGAGTTTCATGACAAAATTCAAGGCAGCGTTCTGATCTCAGAGATCCACCCTGATGTGACATTTTCAGAGACATTAGGTATATTTCTGGAAGAAGTATAGGTATGATCATTTAAGTAGAATAGATGGATATAGGATACGTTGATGGGAATGACTCGTTCTTCCACCAGTATTTATTAAATGCTTATATATCAATCACTGTGCTTGACCCTGGGTATATACAAAGATGAATACTGACATTATTATCAGTAACACCACACAATAATATTGTGAGCCAACTTTCATTAAGCTCTCATTATAGGCTAGGAATGATTCTAAACCTAATGATTTTAGTACTAAATACATTCAATATTCACAACAACCTATGAGATAAGTACAGTTGTTATTTGCATTTTACAGATAAGGCAGTCTAGGCACAGTAACTTGTCCAAGAGACATAGCTAGTAAATGGAGGTTTGGAACCCAGAGTTTACACTCTAAATCACCCCACTGTGCTGCTGCTTCTAATAAGATGGTCTTTGGCTCAAAGAGATGATCATCTAGTTGAGGAGAGAGATATATAAGCAGTTGATTCCAAAACCCTGAGATTAGTGCCACAGAAGCAGTAACAGGCTGGCTGCCAGAGGTCGGGGTAGGTCAACATCTTGGTGGGGATGACAGCTGTGGGTATGGGCTGGAAAGCATGTGACCTTTGTCACTGAAGGTGTGGGAGGAACAGGAATAGAGGTAACAGACATCAGTAGTAGCAACCAGGAGGAGTAGGGGCTGCGAAAGCAGAAGGTCAGTGTTCATCTTTCTCCTACTATTGATTTCTGATTTTGGGCCCATCTGTCATGACTGATCCTTGGCTATGTTACATAGATTTACTATGGAATCAGTGAGCAGCAATGAACAGAAACAGTTCAGCTTGTCCCACTAGACTCTGACAGCATGCTTCTGACATCAAAAGTGTGGGGATCTCTCCCCACCAGCAAGCAAGCAGTCAGTTCCACAGTGGACACCAGCTGGGTGTCTTCCAATTCAGCTCCGACACTACCTGGAGACAGCGTCAGATCCCACAGGTTGAGGGCTCGTTCCCCAGTACTGCCCCCCACTTCTGATGTCAATTGCAAGCCCTGAGGTATTTTACCTATGCTTCTGATGGACTGACTATAAATTAGGGTTCCCACGACTACTCCTTGGGTTTGATTAATTTGCTAGAGCAGCTCACAGAACTCAGAGAAATACGTTTACTGGTTTATTACAAAGGATATTATGAAGGATACAGATGAAGAAACATGTGGGTCAAGGTATGGGGAAAGGGATGTGGAACTTGCGTGCCCTCCCTAGGTATACCACCCGCTGGGAACCTCCACATGTTCATCTATCTGGAAGATCCCCAAATCCTATGCTTTTGGGTTTTTATGGGAGCTTCATTATGAAGGCATGATTGAAACATGGACAGCTGTGTAGAAATGTTATTGGACAAAATGGGTGTGGCCTAATACTGATAGACTGGGCAGGGAAACCCAGCAAGGCCCGTCTGTTCAGGTCCTTCTTGACCTCTCTATGCAGTCTTCCTCCCTCCCAGGTATGGGGCAAGGCCCCTCCTGAAATGGGGGTCTTATCACCTACAATTAGACAAGGTAGGTCAAAGAATTTCTTAACGGCCAGCTCTAAGACTAAAAGGCAGGGGAAGGTCAGAGTCCTGCCTTGGGGAGCCAGGAACTGTGGACAAAAACCAGTATATGAGGGTACTTCAAAAAGTTCACAGCAAAGTAGAATTGCAAAATAATACAAATCTTTCCATGAAGTACCCTCACGTGTATACCATAATATCACAGTCAGGCTCAAGCTCCACCATTTAGTTATTTTTACAATCTATTCTCGTAAGTATTGGTGGTCACAACGAGGGCTGAGTCTAGTTTCCTATTAGGGAAAGACCCTCTTACTCATTGTAAATACCAGTAGAATCCTGGTAAGTAGACTGATATTTACACTCAATTTCATTCCTGTGAAAGAAGGTGGAATGACGAAGATATCTATGGTAATAATAGTATGAGCTAGCATTCTAACTTGAAGAAAAGATTCTGGATCTGAAATGTTTTATTAGGAAAAAATTTCAAAATGTACAAAAGAAGAGAGTATAGTATAATGAAGTCCCCTGTACCCATTATCCAGTTTCAACAGTTACCAACTCAGGCCCAACCTTGTCTGATTTATACCCGGTCATTCTCTCCCATCCTCCACTGTCTAATAATCCATCATATCATTCTGTCCATAAATGTTTTAGTATGTGTCTCTAAAACAAAAGGACTATTTTTTAAAAACACAACTCCACACAACATTATCACAACACATTGTTACACCTAAAAAGAAATGACAGTAATTCTTTAATACCCTCAGATATACTTCAAATACCCACTCAGTGTTCATATTTCTGTGATTGTTTCAGAAACTTTTTAATAGCCTGTTTGTTCAAACTGGGCTCCGTTTCAGGGCCATGCATTGCAATTATGTTTTCTGAGTTCTTTTTAATATACTCATGTGTGTTCACTCTCTCGCTAAGTTGTAATTTCTGTGTTGAAGAAAGTGGGCCATTTGTTCCATGGAGTTTCCCACATTCTGGATTTTGCTGGTGGCACCCCTGTCATCATTTACCATGCTTTCTTCCATCCCTTTTATTTCCTATAGACTGGCAATTAGATCTAGAGGCTTGAGCAGGTTCAGTTTTTCCTGCCAAGATACTTCATGGCTGGTGTGTGTCCTTCCATCAGGAGGTGCATAATGTTCAGTTGTCTCTATTTTTGTGATGTCAGGAGCCATTGATATTTATTCCTTAGCTCCTTTATTTTTCATTAGGGCTTGCAATGTTGCAATATTCTATCATTCTTATTCATCAATTAGCTAGAAAACGTCCATAAAGAGAATTTTTTTTAGCTTAACTACCAGATTACTGTGAGACACTGTTTCTACAGGAAAGGCAGGATAAATGCTTTAAATATGATTCATCCCCTTTATTTGCAAGTTTTCAAAATAATGCATGTTTCCTAGTGTTATCCCAGGTGACAAACGAGAGGTACCTGTGTGTATCTTACTGTCATTGTGTGCTCATGACTTTCAACATAGGGCGAGTTCCAGTCTGTTGCAGTAGTTATTCTTATTGATGCTCTGACTTTCCCACCTTTGGCTTGTAGGAGCCTCTCGAGGCTGGCTCCCTCATCTTTCCCACACAGCTCTGCAGTCTTTCATAGCATCTTCTGTGCTGGTAAGACACGATATCCCAGGCTCATTTGATAAATTTTCTGCCCAGGTCTAGAATCAGCCATTTCTCCAAGAAGCTCTCATTCCTTTTAGTAGAAAATATTACTTAGAGATTATCAGCAGGGTGCTGGGGTGAACTTTGTTTTTAATTTGCTTTAATAACATTGGTGGTAAAATTCAAATTGGATTAAATTGTGATTGCTAGGCAACCGTGGGTACATTTGTTGCATCCACGGCCATGAATTCAAATCTGAATATAAAGGATAAAAATATTGATCTAAAAGGTAAATGTTTGTAAGGTTTTAAAAAATTGTTGAATATTTGTCTTTATGGCTGTTCAGAAGCCACATTTGAGGGGGTGCTGCACTGATTGCAACTGTCCTAACCTCATCTCACGTGATCAGTCCTTATCAGAGATGCTTTCTCTCTATCAAGAAATCGCATCGTCCTAAGACTCTTGCAGCGTGCAAACTCATGGAAAATGTCTCAGTGGGGAATGTGGTCACTGGTTCAGTATCTGTTTCTAGAACTTGTGTTCAAATCCGAGACCAGTGAACTATGGATATTTCCTGTTTTTCAGCATCTGAGATTCAAATGATGACACTTCCCCCAGGTCAGTTTGTGATTACAGACAGTGGTGTGGCAACTCCTGTTGCGTCTGGCCAGGTGAAGGCTGTTACTCCGGTAAGCTGTGCGACGGCTGGGTTTCTCTTGTCCACCCTGAGGGGCTATGTTATAACCCTTATCACAGTTTATTTTTTAATGATTTATTTACTCTTTGTTTTCTCACAGTAGATGGTGAATTCTTTGAAAGCTGGGTCTTGTCTTTATCACTTTACCCTTTAATGCATAGCCCGGGAGGCTAGGATATAGCAAATGCTCAATAAATATCTACTCAATTAATAACTATAATGAACTTCCTAGATTCATTCACATGATCACCTTTTTATGTGCTTCTAGGAAAGATCAGAAGTCCTCAAGACTACTGGTCTTCAGCTGGGTTGGGAGAGAATAATATAATAAACTAATTATGGAGCTATTTTAAGCAAATTCAGCCACCCCAAGATGGAAAACATTGCCATCAATGACCTTGTTATGTTTAAGGTGGGCAGGTACAATGTTGACTGGATCTACTACCTCTGTTTTTATCTTCACTGGTTTGTTCTGGCCTACCTCCAAGTTGTTAGAAGAAAGAGTATGTAAATTTAAAGTAAAAAAAATGCCCTTGGATGAATAAGTTCTGGAGATCTAGTGCACAGCATGATGACTATAGTTAATAGTAATGGATTGTATACTTGAAAATTGCCAATTGCTGGACAGTTAGCTTAGTTGGTTAGAGCACAGAGTTGTAACACCAAGGTCAAGTGTTCTGATCCCCATACCAGCCGGCTTCCAAAAAAAAAAGAAAAAGAAAAGAAGAGTAGATTTTAGATGTTCTCACACACAAAAAATGGTACGTGTGTGAAGAGATGGATATGTTAATTAGCTTGATTTAATCATTTCATAATATATACATATATCANAGGATACGTTGATGGGAATGACTCGTTCTTCCACCAGTATTAAATGCTTATATATCAATCACTGTGCTTGACCCTGGGTATATACAAAGATGAATACTGACATTATTATCAGTAACACCACACAATAATATTGTGAGCCAACTTTCATTAAGCTCTCATTATAGGCTAGGAATGATTCTAAACCTAATGATTTTAGTACTAAATACATTCAATATTCACAACAACCTATGAGATAAGTACAGTTGTTATTTGCATTTTACAGATAAGGCAGTCTAGGCACAGTAACTTGTCCAAGAGACATAGCTAGTAAATGGAGGTTTGGAACCCAGAGTTTACACTCTAAATCACCCCACTGTGCTGCTGCTTCTAATAAGATGGTCTTTGGCTCAAAGAGATGATCATCTAGTTGAGGAGAGAGATATATAAGCAGTTGATTCCAAAACCCTGAGATTAGTGCCACAGAAGCAGTAACAGGCTGGCTGCCAGAGGTCGGGGTAGGTCAACATCTTGGTGGGGATGACAGCTGTGGGTATGGGCTGGAAAGCATGTGACCTTTGTCACTGAAGGTGTGGGAGGAACAGGAATAGAGGTAACAGACATCAGTAGTAGCAACCAGGAGGAGTAGGGGCTGCGAAAGCAGAAGGTCAGTGTTCATCTTTCTCCTACTATTGATTTCTGATTTTGGGCCCATCTGTCATGACTGATCCTTGGCTATGTTACATAGATTTACTATGGAATCAGTGAGCAGCAATGAACAGAAACAGTTCAGCTTGTCCCACTAGACTCTGACAGCATGCTTCTGACATCAAAAGTGTGGGGATCTCTCCCCACCAGCAAGCAAGCAGTCAGTTCCACAGTGGACACCAGCTGGGTGTCTTCCAAGCAGCAATGAACAGAAACAGTTCAGCTTGTCCCACTAGACTCTGACAGCATGCTTCTGACATTAAAAGTGTGGGGATCTCTCCCCACCAGCAAGCAAGCAGTCAGTTCCACAGTGGACACCAGCTGGGTGTCTTCCAATTCAGCTCCGACACTACCTGGAGACAGCGTCAGATCCCACAGGTTGAGGGCTCGTTCCCCAGTACTGCCCCCCACTTCTGATGTCAATTGCAAGCCCTGAGGTATTTTACCTATGCTTCTGATGGACTGACTATAAATTAGGGTTCCCACGACTACTCCTTGGGTTTGATTAATTTGCTAGAGCAGCTCACAGAACTCAGAGAAATACGTTTACTGGTTTATTACAAAGGATATTATGAAGGATACAGATGAAGAAACATGTGGGTCAAGGTATGGGGAAAGGGATGTGGAACTTGCGTGCCCTCCCTAGGTATACCACCCGCTGGGAACCTCCACATGTTCATCTATCTGGAAGATCCCCAAATCCTATGCTTTTGGGTTTTTATGGGAGCTTCATTATGAAGGCATGATTGAAACATGGACAGCTGTGTAGAAATGTTATTGGACAAAATGGGTGTGGCCTAATACTGATAGACTGGGCAGGGAAACCCAGCAAGGCCCGTCTGTTCAGGTCCTTCTTGACCTCTCTATGCAGTCTTCCTCCCTCCCAGGTATGGGGCAAGGCCCCTCCTGAAATGGGGGTCTTATCACCTACAATTAGACAAGGTAGGTCAAAGAATTTCTTAACGGCCAGCTCTAAGACTAAAAGGCAGGGGAAGGTCAGAGTCCTGCCTTGGGGAGCCAGGAACTGTGGACAAAAACCAGTATATGAGGGTACTTCAAAAAGTTCACAGCAAAGTAGAATTGCAAAATAATACAAATCTTTCCATGAAGTACCCTCACGTGTATACCATAATATCACAGTCAGGCTCAAGCTCCACCATTTAGTTATTTTTACAATCTATTCTCGTAAGTATTGGTGGTCACAACGAGGGCTGAGTCTAGTTTCCTATTAGGGAAAGACCCTCTTACTCATTGTAAATACCAGTAGAATCCTGGTAAGTAGACTGATATTTACACTCAATTTCATTCCTGTGAAAGAAGGTGGAATGACGAAGATATCTATGGTAATAATAGTATGAGCTAGCATTCTAACTTGAAGAAAAGATTCTGGATCTGAAATGTTTTATTAGGAAAAAATTTCAAAATGTACAAAAGAAGAGAGTATAGTATAATGAAGTCCCCTGTACCCATTATCCAGTTTCAACAGTTACCAACTCAGGCCCAACCTTGTCTGATTTATACCCGGTCATTCTCTCCCATCCTCCACTGTCTAATAATCCATCATATCATTCTGTCCATAAATGTTTTAGTATGTGTCTCTAAAACAAAAGGACTATTTTTTAAAAACACAACTCCACACAACATTATCACAACACATTGTTACACCTAAAAAGAAATGACAGTAATTCTTTAATACCCTCAGATATACTTCAAATACCCACTCAGTGTTCATATTTCTGTGATTGTTTCAGAAACTTTTTAATAGCCTGTTTGTTCAAACTGGGCTCCGTTTCAGGGCCATGCATTGCAATTATGTTTTCTGAGTTCTTTTTAATATACTCATGTGTGTTCATTCTCTCGCTAAGTTGTAATTTCTGTGTTGAAGAAAGTGGGCCATTTGTTCCATGGAGTTTCCCACATTCTGGATTTTGCTGGTGGCACCCCTGTCATCATTTACCATGCTTTCTTCCATCCCTTTTATTTCCTATAGACTGGCAATTAGATCTAGAGGCTTGAGCAGGTTCAGTTTTTCCTGCCAAGATACTTCATGGCTGGTGTGTGTCCTTCCATCAGGAGGTGCATAATGTTCAGTTGTCTCTATTTTTGTGATGTCAGGAGCCATTGATATTTATTCCTTAGCTCCTTTATTTTTCATTAGGGCTTGCAATGTTGCAATATTCTATCATTCTTATTCATCAATTAGCTAGAAAACGTCCATAAAGAGAATTTTTTTTAGCTTAACTACCAGATTACTGTGAGACACTGTTTCTACAGGAAAGGCAGGATAAATGCTTTAAATATGATTCATCCCCTTTATTTGCAAGTTTTCAAAATAATGCATGTTTCCTAGTGTTATCCCAGGTGACAAACGAGAGGTACCTGTGTGTATCTTACTGTCATTGTGTGCTCATGACTTTCAACATAGGGCGAGTTCCAGTCTGTTGCAGTAGTTATTCTTATTGATGCTCTGACTTTCCCACCTTTGGCTTGTAGGAGCCTCTCGAGGCTGGCTCCCTCATCTTTCCCACACAGCTCTGCAGTCTTTCATAGCATCTTCTGTGCTGGTAAGACACGATATCCCAGGCTCATTTGATAAATTTTCTGCCCAGGTCTAGAATCAGCCATTTCTCCAAGAAGCTCTCATTCCTTTTAGTAGAAAATATTACTTAGAGATTATCAGCAGGGTGCTGGGGTGAACTTTGTTTTTAATTTGCTTTAATAACATTGGTGGTAAAATTCAAATTGGATTAAATTGTGATTGCTAGGCAACCGTGGGTACATTTGTTGCATCCACGGCCATGAATTCAAATCTGAATATAAAGGATAAAAATATTGATCTAAAAGGTAAATGTTTGTAAGGTTTTAAAAAATTGTTGAATATTTGTCTTTATGGCTGTTCAGAAGCCACATTTGAGGGGGTGCTGCACTGATTGCAACTGTCCTAACCTCATCTCACGTGATCAGTCCTTATCAGAGATGCTTTCTCTCTATCAAGAAATCGCATCGTCCTAAGACTCTTGCAGCGTGCAAACTCATGGAAAATGTCTCAGTGGGGAATGTGGTCACTGGTTCAGTATCTGTTTCTAGAACTTGTGTTCAAATCCGAGACCAGTGAACTATGGATATTTCCTGTTTTTCAGCATCTGAGATTCAAATGATGACACTTCCCCCAGGTCAGTTTGTGATTACAGACAGTGGTGTGGCAACTCCTGTTGCGTCTGGCCAGGTGAAGGCTGTTACTCCGGTAAGCTGTGCGACGGCTGGGTTTCTCTTGTCCACCCTGAGGGGCTATGTTATAACCCTTATCACAGTTTATTTTTTAATGATTTATTTACTCTTTGTTTTCTCACAGTAGATGGTGAATTCTTTGAAAGCTGGGTCTTGTCTTTATCACTTTACCCTTTAATGCATAGCCCGGGAGGCTAGGATATAGCAAATGCTCAATAAATATCTACTCAATTAATAACTATAATGAACTTCCTAGATTCATTCACATGATCACCTTTTTATGTGCTTCTAGGAAAGATCAGAAGTCCTCAAGACTACTGGTCTTCAGCTGGGTTGGGAGAGAATAATATAATAAACTAATTATGGAGCTATTTTAAGCAAATTCAGCCACCCCAAGATGGAAAACATTGCCATCAATGACCTTGTTATGTTTAAGGTGGGCAGGTACAATGTTGACTGGATCTACTACCTCTGTTTTTATCTTCACTGGTTTGTTCTGGCCTACCTCCAAGTTGTTAGAAGAAAGAGTATGTAAATTTAAAGTAAAAAAAATGCCCTTGGATGAATAAGTTCTGGAGATCTAGTGCACAGCATGATGACTATAGTTAATAGTAATGGATTGTATACTTGAAAATTGCCAATTGCTGGACAGTTAGCTTAGTTGGTTAGAGCACAGAGTTGTAACACCAAGGTCAAGTGTTCTGATCCCCATACCAGCCGGCTTCCAAAAAAAAAAGAAAAAGAAAAGAAGAGTAGATTTTAGATGTTCTCACACACAAAAAATGGTACGTGCAGAGTTGTAACACCAAGGTCAAGTGTTCTGATCCCCATACCAGCCGGCTTCCAAAAAAAAAGAAAAAGAAAAGAAGAGTAGATTTTAGATGTTCTCACACAAAAAAATGGTACGTATGTGAAGAGATGGATATGTTAATTAGCTTGATTTAATCATTTCATAATATATACATATATCAAAACATCATGTTGTATACCGTAAATATATACAGTTTTTGTTTTTCAATTATACCTTAATAAAGCTGATGGTGGGAAAGAGAAAAAAAGAAAAATTCTCTTAAGTGGCTAGGGATATTGGGATTTTCCCATGGGAAGATTGTTTCCCAAGAGGCCTCCAAGAGCAGTGGGGTTGTCCAGTGGCCTCAAAAAGTTGATTTTTTTAAAGCATTCTGAGAGTTTGCTTATTTCTCATCACGTAGGGTCACACCAACTAGACTTAGGAGAGATGTTTAAATCCAGAGTAACAATGAAAACAATAACTAGTGTAAAATGGAATAGTCATGTTGACATGATCAGTGAATTTTCTGTTCCCTTTAGGACCTATTGACTCTACAATTTTTTGGCCAGGGACTCATTTGTGAAACTTATTAAAGCCAGGGATGTCTCCCTCCCCCATTGCAGTGTACCTACACACAAATGTATTGTACGTTTTTGAGAGTTCATGGGTTCTCTGAAGTCCACCTATAGAGCCCCTAGGGGTTAATGGACCCTAGGTTGAGAACCAGCCCCCTCCCCACGAGAGGAAGACCCACATGGGAAACCAAATCATAATCAGAAAATTACTTGGTGGGTATGCACTCAGAACATAGACCCTAGATGAATCAAATGGGTTTCTGGCTATGGCTTTTTCTCTAGATCGTGCATGGAAAGGCTACTGCTGGAGTTTTCCTCTGTGACTTCTTCTCTCCTCTGCTCTGTAGCTGACCAATCCCCTTCTGACTGACACATTCTTTCTTTAAAAATGTTAACATAATGAAATAGCCAGCTACAGGTCTATGAAGAAGTTTCCATGATCAGAGGAAAAATGAGGAAAAATAAAGACAATGTGTGAGTTTTCATAAAGCTAAATTTATTTAATGTAAGGGGCTTTATTCTAAGATTGTGTCCTTCCTATGCTCTTGAGTGTTCAAATGTCTATTTGATGGTAGTATATTTTAAATGACCTTAGCAAAATAAGTTTTGGGGACAATTTATTATTATTTTTAATTTTGCTGGTCTTTGACATTCTGAAGTTTAGAACCAGTGATCTTGACCACCTGTCGTAGAGGCCGTGTCCCCTTGTAACATTTCTTTGCATATTCCCTTGTCCTATCCCCTGTGGCTCCTCCTTCCCTTTTAGGCCCCAGATTTTTTTTTTCTTTTAATTTATCAGTATACAGTGTAGTTGATTTTCTCAGCACCAGATTTTTAAAGATTCTTTTGTTCCTGCTCTAGGGTCATTATGTGTTATCAGAAAGTCAACCAGAATTGGAGGAAAAGCAAACTTCTGCCCTCTCCGGTGGAGTTCAGGTTCAGCCGTCTGCACATAGTGACTCCCTGGACTCCCAGAGCACCAGTCAACAACAGACCACACAGTACATCATCACAACCACCACCAATGGAAACGGAAGCAGTGAAGTGCACATTACTAAACCATGACCTTCTCCCTGAGCTAGAATTGAGCAGTCACATCATGTCTTTTCTTGTTCATAAGTCTGAAAGATTGTGACACTTACACCTTTTTTTTTAATATTTGCTATTCACTCAAGAGTCTGGAAACGACAGTTCTGGCACTCATACATGCACTGGGGTTTGTTTTGCCAAGGTCATCTTTACCAAATTGACTCTTCAAACCCTTGAGGTTTCTGCCACAGAATAGAGGACTTTCAGGGGAAAACAGATTTCAAGGTGGAGAAACTTTTCCTAGCTCTTGAGTTAGTTTTTTAATACATCGATAAGCCTTACCTTTCCTTTGTGGAAATATTAAATGGTGTATTGTGTTCATACCAAAGGTGGAGAAAGGATATTCCAAGTCCATGGTCCCTGGATTTGCTGATTCCAAGCCATGGCACCAAAGGAGAAGGGGCATTTTATGGATGTGTATTAGGTCAGAACTGTTTTATCTTGTAATTTTGAATTTTCAGTAATTTAACAAAGGGAGCCTACTGAATAAGAAGATAAAAATGACAAAATGAAAGTGTGACAGTAATGTTCTGAAGGAAATACTGTCATCTAAATTTTTCTTATTGTGTTTTCTTTTTTAACTTTCCTGTTTTGGAAAACCATCATTGGGCTGTTAGTAATGCTTTCCACAGATGCTGGCCCTCAGCAGATTAGGTCAGATCCTCAGGTTCTAATAGTTCTTACTTTAGTACTCCACAATGGTGGACTCCCTGAAAGAGAAAAGGCTGCTGGATGTCAGCAGAATTTAAACCTGTACATTAAAGCTTTGCCTCCCAATCTCTGGTTGTGATTGTATGTAGAAAGAGATACTGGTACCAAGAAAAATCACTAAAACTATATATATATATATATAGAGAGAGAGAGAGAGAGAGAGAGAGAGAACTGAAATCTTGTCCTGCCTCTGTCACTCATTGGTAAAGGATGAATTTCTTGCTCCTACCAAGTATACATTTAACTCTTGCTCAGAGTATTCGGTGTATTTTAGTACTTTCAATGCTGTCTTAAAATGAACATTCTCTAAAGTTGGGTGGAAAGGTGGCCTTCCTTATTTCTTAACACTTTTAAATTTAAACGTATTGTAACTCATCTGGACCTTTTTGGAAGATGACCAACTACACACTTATGGGAAAAATAAAAATGTGGGGGGGCCGGCCCGGTGGCGCACTGCTACAGTGCGCCGCTTGGGAGCGCGGCGGCGCTCCCGCCGAGGGTTCGGATCCCACATACAGACCGGTTCCCGCTCACTGGCTGAGCGAGGTACGGGTGCAACACTGAGGGTTGCGATCCCGTTGCCGGTCCCAGTCCAGTACGGGCGCAACACTGAGGGTTGTGATCCGTTGCTGGACACAAAAAAAAAAAAAAAAAAAAAAAAAAAAAGTGGGGACCATTTATAAGACATTAAGGTGATTATAGGGGATCTGGAAGAAATCCAGTCTTGGAGAAGAAAAAAAAAAATCCACCTTGACGATAGTTTTTCTTATATGTGTTTCTATTGGGGAGTCTTGTTTACTGTGAATTCAGTGGGGAAAAATATTTCCCTTCTTTTTACTGTACATTCCAATTGTACACATAAAACAATTCAATGATCAGTATATATTTTGACAACTTTTTGTGATATACTAACACCTTTTTAGAATAATTATTGCATAGTAGAATTTATCACTTGAGAACAGAAAGACCTAACTTCATTTCAAATGAACTTAACTAATTTATTTTATTTACATTTCTGGTTTGAAACTGGTTGTATAAATTTATACATATAGTACCTTCTTTATGGTACATATATCTTTCTGAGAAGAAAACAATTCTGTTGAAATAAATTTATTCAAGTGTAGATTTTGCACTTTATTTTTGAGACTTCATTCAGTTATCCCTGAAAATTTGGGTGATAAGAGAACTTGTGAAAGTTACTTCATAAATGTGTTGAAACTGAAAGGGGACTCATTATTTTTGGTGACAAAGAGATAACGTCGATGTTTCCAACAGAAAATATTGACTCTGATCACAAAATACGGACTCTGGTTCCCAAAGGCCCACCATGTAATGATTCTAAATATCATAGTGTCTATTCTAGAAAGACTTGGTAGTAAAGAATATTAGACTTTTCTAAAGGTCCAGTTTAGTTTTTATCACTTAAATTTGACCTTGTTGGGTTCTTTTTAATTTGAACCAGTAGCTCCCCTCCCCTCAGGAATAATTTATTGATTAAAATTGAAAACTATCACTGGATGGAATGTTCATTTTATGCCAGTTATTTCAAGTTTTAAAATACACAGAAGAAAATACTGAATAAGAAGGACCTCTTTGTCTCTTTCCCTTCTAAGTTTTTCTCCCTTCTTTTTTTTTTTTTGGTCTTTACATTGAATAAAGACTCTAAAACTAATTTACATATTATTAACAGAGATGTGGGTGGCAGTCAAGCCAAATACCAATGCTTTAAGATCAAGTATTCCGCACATTCATTCCAAGGTCATAGATTTTCAAAAGGACTTGGATTTAAAGAGATGGCAGATTATAAGTCATCTGAAGACCCAATTTGGAAAACATGTATGTAGCCAATGTTTATATTGTGGCCTCTCAAGACACATTGATGCTGTAGACTTCATTCAGTGCAATGTGAATATTTTGGAGTAGGTTGGATATAGATTTTACATTTTTACTGTTTGATTTGTACCGACAGAGATAGACACTTCATCATGTAAAATTCCTGTTACTCTGGAAAAACTTATTGTTTTGATCTTCTTGAATTGTTTTCTGACTTGGAATTATTCTTTCAAAGAATTCTTAAGCTATCCAGGGCTAAAAAGCACTTGATGAGATGCTAAAGCTGACCCATTGGTTGAACATGTTGACCCTATCCTGTTATTTAAATGTGAACATTTATTGTACATTCAGTGAGTTATAGTGTTAATAGTCTTGTGCTACCCAGCAGGTGTAAAAATTAATAAATATTTTTTTTTAATAAACATGTTTCTCATTTGTATGTGTGAAGCTACAAAAGCTACTGAGATTGTTAATTTTTTTCTCTTAAATATTACAACTTAACTTCTGGTTTCCAGTCTGGCATGTAAGAAGGTCGGAAGTTACCGCTCTATCCTATAACAAGTAATAAGCTGAACAAACTCAAAAATCAACAACTTTTTTTGGATCTGTCAGAGAAGTGAGCTCACAGGGCAAACTGCTGCCCCCAAAATTGGAGAGAAAGACAGGTGAATACAGAGAATCACAACTTCCTGAACAAGCAAAACCCCATGAGCAGAAATCTCTGTGGGAACCAGTGCCAGGGTAGGTAAACCTGGATTGTAATTGATGAATTGCTGCAGGCTCAATGTGGACAAGTCTGAGAGACTGAAAATTCCAATGGGACCCAGTCACTGGGGGTAAATATGGGATTCACACTTTTTTAGGTTTTACTTCCAGGAGCTCAACCAGGTTCTCACAGTGAATATGAAAGGAAAATCTCCTCATGTTTCTGGCAGGGGAAGGGACAAAGGAACTATTTTGAAATATGCTGGATCACTGTGCTCTTCCTCACGAGATCAGCCCTCAGGAGAAACTATTTAAGCAGAGCCTAATCTGCTGAGGTTATAGCAGAGCCTAACCAGAGGAGGGGATATACCAAACTCCAGTCAGCTCTAGCCATCCTGTCCCACCTAAGAGGGAAAACTGAGAAGCACGTGTGAAGCTCAAAGCCTGGAGGCACAGGCTCACTAGAAGACTGCAACTTACTCATAGGACTACAGAACACTTCCCCTCCCCACACATTACCCCCACATCACTAAAGGCCTACTTACAGAAGTCCTTTTCACCTGGTACATCATGTTTGGCTAGTGAGAAGAAAGTACAAGGCATACTAAGAGGCAAAGACACAGTTTGAAGAAACAGAGCAAGCATCAGAACCAGATTCAGACATGGCAGGGATGCTGGGATTCTCAGACTGGGAATTTAAATAACTGTGATTAATATGAAAAGAGCTCTAATGGTGAAAGGAGACAACAAGCAAGAACAAATGGGGAATGCAAGCACAAGATGGAAATCCTAAGAACCAGAAACAAATGCCTAGAGATCAAAAATAACAGAAATGAAGAGCAGCTTTGAAAGGCTTTTTAGTAGACTACACGCATCTAAGGAAAGAATCTCAGAGCCTGAGGACATCCCAATAGAAACATCCAAAACTGAAAGACAAAAAAGATGGGGAAAAAAAAATATAGAACAGTATCCAAGAACTATTTCAAATAGTGTAAATACACATAATGGGAATACAAGAGGAGAAGATAGAAAGGAACAGAGGAAATATCTGAAACAATAATGACTGATAATTTCCCCACATTAATATCAGACACCAAATCACATATCCAGGAAACTCAGGAAACACCAAGCAGGATAAATGCCAAAAGAAAACAAAGCAAAGCAAAACCAAAACCCAAAACAAATAAACAAAAAATCTGACTTCTCAGAAATAGGTGCAAGCGAGGAGAGAGTGGAGTAAAATATAAGGGCTGAGAGAGAGAGAGAGAGAGAGAGAGAGAGAGAGAGAGAGAAACTAGCTTAGAATACTGTAGCCTGTGAAATGATTCTTCAAAAGTGAAGGGGAAGTAAGGACTCTCTCAACAAACAAAAATTGAGGGCATGTGTTGCCAGTAGACCTGCCTTGCAAGAAATGTTGAGAAGTGTTTTTTGTTTGTGTTTTGTTTTGGTGGCTGGCTGGTATGGGGATCCAAACCCTTGACGTTGGTGTTATAACACTGCACTCTAACCAACTGAGCTAACCAGCCAGCCCAAGACAAGTATTTTAGAGAGAAGAAAAATGATAAAGGAAGAGCATCTGAGAATGAGAAAAACTTTGTTTTTTCTTATTCTTAACTGATCTAATACATAGCAGTTTGTTCAAAATAATAGCAACAATATATTTGATTATATATGCTTATATATACACTTGTCTGTATGCTTATGTATAAGTGAAATGAATGACAGCAATGATTCAAGGGACAGGAGTGAGGAATTAGGATTATTTTGTTATTACAAGATATGCATACTGTCCATGAAGTGGGATAGTGTTAAATGAAAATGGACTTGGATTAATTGCAAGTGTATGCTGTAAATTCTACGGAAACCACTAAAAAAAGTAAAAGAAGTATCACTGATATACTAAGAAAGGAAAGAAAATGGGATCATACAAAATGTTCAATTAAAATTGTAAAAGGCAAAAAAAACCTGCAAAAGGCAAAAAATAGAGTGGAAGACAACAGGAGCAGAACAAGGGCAACAAATAGAAAATAGGAATGAATATAGTATATATTAATCTAAAAATATCAATAATCACTTTGAACATTAATGGTCTAAATGCACTAATTAAGACAGATTTTCAAGTGGATCAAGAACAAGACCCAGGTATATGTTGTCTATAAGAAACCACCTTTGTTTATTTATTTTTATTTTTTATTTTTTATTTATTTATTTTTTTTAAAAGATGACCGGTAAGGGGATCTTAACCCTTGACTTGGTGTTGTCAGCACCACGCTCAGCCAGTGAGCGAACCGGCCATCCCTATATGGGATCCGAACCCGGGGCCTTGGTGTTAGCAGCACCGCACTCTCCTGAGTGAGCCACAGGCCGGCCCTGTTTATTTATTTTTAAAAGACGACTGGTAAGGGGATCCTAACCCTTGACTTGGTGTTGTCAGCACCATGCTCTCCTAAGCGAGCCAACTGGCTATCCCTATATAGGGATCCAAACCTGTGGCGTTGGTGTTATCAGCACCACACTCTCTCCAAGTGAGCCACAGGCCGGCCCAGAAACCTCCTTTAAATATAAAGACACTTATAGATTGAAAATGAATCAATGGAGAAAGGTATATCATGCTAACACTAATCAAATAGGGGTTGCTATGTTAATTTCAGACAGAGCAGGCTTCAGAGCAAGGAAAGTTATCAGGAATAAAAGAGGCATTAAATAATGATAAAGGGGTCAATTCTCCAAGAAGACATAAAAACCCTTCATATGTATGCACCTAACAACAGAGCATGTAAATATGTGAGGCAAAAACTGATAGACCTGCAGGGAGAAATAGATGAATCCAGTGCTGTAGTTGGAGACTAACAGCCGTCATCAGAAATGTAGAGATCCAGCAGGCAGAAAATCAGTAAGGACATAGTTGAGCTCAGTATCACAAATCAATTGGAAATAATGAGTGTCTATAGACTACTTTCTCCAACAAGATTGCAAATACACATGTAAAAAGATGCTCCACATCATATGTCATCAGGGAAATGCAGATTAAAACAATATGAGATACTACTACACACCTATTAGAATAGCCAAAAATCAGGTGCCAGCCCCATGGCTCACTCGGGAGAGTGCAGTGCTGGTAGCGCCGAGGCCACAGGTTCGGATCCTATATAGGGATGGCCGGTGCGCTCACTGGCTGAGCACGGTGCAGACCACACCGTGCCGAGGGTTGCAATTCCCTTACCAGTCAGGAAAAAAAAAAAAAAAAAAAGAATAGCCAAAATTCAGGATACTGACAACACCAAATGCTGGCAAAGATGTGGAGCAACAGGAACTCTCATTCATTGCTGGTGGGAATGCAAGTTGGTATAGCCACTTTAGAAGGCAGTTTGGCAGTTTCTTACCAAACTAAACATACTTTTTCCATATGATCCAGCAATTGCCCTCCTTGGTATTTAACCAAAGGAGTTGAAAACTTATGTCCATACAAAAACCTGCACATGTATATTTACAGCGGCTTTATTCATAATTGCTGACACTTGGAAGCAATCAACCCTTCAGTCGGTGAAGAGGTAAAACTGTGGTAACATCCAGACAGTGGATACTATTCAGCACTAAAAAGAAATGAGCTATTGAGTCATGAAAAGACATGGAGGAAATTTAAATGCACATCACTAAGTGAAAGGAACCAATCTGAAAATGCTACATACTGTATGATAACAATCATATGACAGTCTGGAAAATGTAAAACCATAGAGACAATAAAAACATGAGTGGTTGCCAGGGGTAGGGTAGAGGGAGGTATAAATAGGTGGACCAAAGGTTATTTTAGGGCAGTGAAACTATGCTGTATTGTACTGTAATGGTGGATAATGACGTGTCAATGTAAGTTCATCACCCGAAAGAAAAGTACCTCTCTGGTGGGAGATGTTGATAATAGGAGAGGCGATGCATGTGTGGGGGCTGGGATATATGGGAATCGCTGATCTTTCTGCCTAATTTTGCTGTGAACCTAAAACTTCTCTGAAAAACAAACTCTATTTTAAAGAATTATAATGTACAGTGTTTTGACTCTTTCTCTTTGGTCTGATCACAGTCTCAAGGTAAGAGAAATATTGCTGACAACTATGGAATGATGTTCCATACTGCCATTTTTACTTGGTTTTTAATTCAAGAACCTCCCAACGGTCTAATGGAACTAAAGGCATCCGTGGAGCCAAAAGAAGAGCAGGGACTGGGCTTTATTTGGAAACCTCTATTTTCCAACAAGGGAGGAGCATTAGCTTGGCCCGCCGGCTTCTCTGACATGTTTCCATCCAACTGAGAGAACTGAGGATGGTCTCTGCACGACAGGCTGAGGTTCGCGCTCTCCTCGTTGGACCTGGAGAAACCGCGATTTCCTCAGCAGCAAAATGAGCACTAATAGCGCGTAGCTGACGGCTGCAGTGCAAAGACAGTGGATAGAAAGACAGGCTTAGCATAGGGGCCTCGGGCAGGGTACACTCTCCGTAAACGTTAGGTAACTGCACTCGCTCGTGGGCTCTGGAGCCTTAATTCACGTCCAGGAGAACAAGATCAACGTCGTCTCTGCCCTCCAGAAACTCCCGAACCAGGTGAGACGCAGCAGCACCCCGGAACAGGAATCCCCAGGCCTCAGCCGCGCGCACCGTAAACCCGTCTGGTGCCGCTGCAGGCCACGCCCCCCAGCAGTCCCGCCCCGGCCTCCTGCAGGCCCCGCCCCGCGCAGCCCCGCCCCTTCCGCCGCCCGAGCCCGGAGCGTGCACGCATCCGGACGCCTTGCGGGAGCGAGCGCGTCCGGGACCCCGCGGCCGGAGGAGCCGGGCGGGTTAGGGCTTTCGTGCTTGTGGTTGAGGTGAAGGAGGGCCGGGAGCGGCCAAAGGGTTAAAGTGTCGCGGGGGAGCGGAGGGAGGGAGCGGCTGGGTCTCCGAGGTGGCCACCTCTGTGGGCAAGGGGCGGCGGAGCGACGCGGCCCTGGTGGGTGGGGGTTAGGGTCAGGTACGGCGTGTGGGGCCGGCGAGGGCGAGAGGAGCAGTGTAGAGGGGCGGGATCCGGCATTGGGCTGGGGCGGGGTCGCGCAGGGTGAGATTGGCTGCAGGGGCGGCGGATTTGGAGTTGCCCCAGGAGCACCTAAGGCTTCTGCGTTGGGGAGGGTCCAGGAGGGAAAGTTAGCCCAGGTGCAGAGGAAAGGCCATTGGGAGAGGCCTTCCTGGTCTAGTGAACAGGTCCAGGACGCCCCCCCTAGACTTAGAAGTCCTCGGCTTCCGGGCTTCCAGCTCCCTGGCAGCTGCCTGCTTTTTGCATTTTGAGATCCTGTTCAGAATAGTGGCAGGGCAGGGGTTGTCACTAGAATGGATTAAATTTAGCTGGGCATCTCTATAATTGAAACTTGTGAGCAAGTTGTGTAACTCGAGGTGATCCTTCTGTGTCAGGTAGGACACCGACTTTGGAGTTGCTACTCTGTTCTGTGCCAGTTTTGTTAAGAGTATTTTATTCTAAGCATCAGGTTGCTTCTAGTTTTTTTCTTGTTTTAAAATTTTGTTAAACTCATATGCTATGGGTTTTTTCACTTGCTTCAGTTATTTGGGCTCAAGGCACATGCTGGATGTTGTCATTTCACCATGTGTTGAAGGGCCATGGGGCACAGTTGCTTGGGGAGCATCCAGCTGTCTTGACTCAACACTAATCTTTCTGCTGAATCTTTACATAGATCTGAAATCTCTTCAAGAGAACTTGAAATTATTTTGTGGAAAGTTGCTTCATTTTAGATACATTGTTACAGGTCTGCTCTTTATTGTTTAAGAGTTTCGGAAATGAGAAATACCTACACTGTACAAACTGTCACTCACGTGAGATTATTCATTGCAGGATCCCAGGATTGAAAATAACAGCAGGGAGGACCTGGTCCCGCTTCCTTTCATCTTACAGATAAGGAAATTGGCATCTGGTGAGGTAAGATTTGCAGAATGTCACTCAGAATTAGTGGCAGACTTGGGCTAGAAGTCTAGTGTTTTGACTGTTAGGTCCTTTTTTCTTTCCATTTTACTGTGTTTATTATCCTGTTTGGTAGGCATAGGAGCCAGAGACAATAGATTTAGTAAATGTTTGTAGAGTGACTGAGTTCAAGCTCCCTGTGGTCCTGTTAGTATTGTTCAGTCATGTGGCCTCAACTTTACACCTGATTCCAGCCATTAGCTTTGTGAGATGCTCTCTGAAAATGTTTTAGTATGTACTTTTCTAAAGGTGGTCAGCAGTTTTCAGTTATTACAAGAAAGAGAAAAATAGCATTAATTTATATGGTTATAAAGGTTGGAGACACCAACTAAAGGCAGAGGCAACTGACTTTACTGGTTGTCATGGTCAGGTGCTTGGAGCCTCAGGAGTCTATGTGCACTAATAAAGTCATATCGAGAAGCTTCCTTTTCATGATTTAAATTTAGAGTTTATACAAGCGGTATTGTGTGTAGTGTTAGGAACATGGGTTTGCAGGCTGGCAGAGCTGGGTTTCAATATTGTCTCGGGTTGGAGAAGTTACTCACTATGATCCTAAGTTTTAATATCTGTAGAATAGTTGTAATAATCCTAGCTTGCACAGTTGTAAGAATTAAATGAGCTATATTGAAGGCCTGGCACTTAATAGGCCCTCATGAAGTAGCTTTCTATCTGAGCTTTACTATCATATGTGGATTTTCAGTGAACTTTATTTTGTGGAAGAACAAGGAATTAATTGGTTAAAAAAAATTGTTAAAGAAATTATGTTGTAGTAGAGAAATTATTGCCCTGGGAAGTCTAAATTATGGACTGTGTTCTGTTCATCATTTAATCCCTGAGTCATTTTACGCTTCTGTAAAATGAAGGTATAAGAAATTTATGAATTTAGGAGTCAGTGTGGAAGCATTCTGAGGAAAAGAGTCCTACTAGATAAGACTTAAATTCCAATAGCACTGCAGTGGTGGAAGAGAGGGAGAAGACTGTTTAGCTATAGTTCGGAGGTAAGAATAAAGTGTAAGAATAGATTTGAGATGGAATATTTTCTGGGGGAGTGTTAGCATCAACCATATCTGGGATCTCTGCTTTTCTGTCTCAAGATGCATCTATTTGTATAGAGGTCCTGTGAGGAATAAACAATGGATTCCTTGGACCACATGCTGACAGATCCCCTGGAACTCGGTCCATGTGGAGATGGCCATGGCACGCGTATTATGGAGGACTGCCTGCTGGGAGGCACCAGGGTTAGTCTGCCTGAGGACCTTCTGGAGGATGTGAGTAGTAACTTCATGGCAGTATTTTCCCATCCGCTTCCTCATACCAGCTATTCTAAACCTTTTCTGCTCTCTTCAAGTTTTCAGTGTTTTGTGCTCCCCTTTGTTTCGTTCTCTACATTGCAGGCAGAGTGATCTCTTACGCTTTTGTTATTTTAAGTGTAAAGTCTATTTAATATTCTGATTAGGGAAGAAAGTGTAAGCTATATTCTGCATGTTTAATAACAGGTCAAAATAACTTGATAATATGATATAAGACCTACTTTTAACAAAATAATTTTCATCAATTAAAAACAAGGTCGTATATTTTAAAAGCAGAATTGTATATGTGTTTACATTAAAATTGTTTGTCGCATTGTGAATCATTAAACAAAACCCAAACATTATCTCTGTCCATATGGTAGCCTTCTGGTCAAAATAAGTGAGAGCCCTGGGGTAGGATGTCACATGCTTTCGACTGCTTTCACAGGCGAGATGTGTAATTATCATCATTATTAAGGTGGTTACCATTTATTGTGTGTATGTACAAGGCACTACATAGATGAAAACATTCATTTAAATATATATTTCATTTATTTTGCTGTATTTTGAACATACATACAGGTATAGAGTATAATATGGCAAACGCTCATCACTCATCTTTGCAACACTCAGTTTTAGCAGATAATTTCATTAAGTCACATTTGTTTCAGATTCTTCTTTCATAGGATGTCAAACATTGTAGAGAAAATGAAAGCCACTACTGGTGCCCTTCTCTGATCCTCCCACCTGCAGTAACAACTGTATTGCAGTTGGTATATGTTCTGCCTGTCCATGTTTTCTTTGTATACTCTCTCAAGGAAATCTCTCTGTCATTTAGTCAGCAAACACTTGTTTTATTAAGTACCTACTTTGTGCCAGATGGTGAGTTAAATGCTAGGAATAAAATGGTTTGCAAAAACAGCTTTATAGGCTAAGAAAATCTGGAACATTGAGTCTGAGGTGCTTTTGATATATTCATGCAAAGATGCCTGGCAGCTGGTTGCATTTCTGGATTGTCTTCTGCTTAAACTCTTTGGTGGCTTTCCATTGTCTTTAGGGTAAAGTCACAACTGCTTAACATGTTTACATGTCCTTTGCTTCGCTATACTGTCTACTGCTTCCCCCTCTCTGTCCTTACTCTAGCCAAACATTGCCTGAACTCTGTTTTTTAATTAAAAGTGAAATTTGTCTCACGTAAGAAGAGTATATAAAATGCATATAAATACAGTTGAAGCAATAATAAAACAGGCAGGTAGCCACCACCTAGGTTAAGAATGCTACCAATACCATTTAAGGCCCCTGTGTCCCCCTCCCCATGTCATCCCTTCTCCATTCCCCTGAAAGGTAACTGCCATTCTTTCTTGTGTGTTAATTCTTTTGTTTGTATAGTTTTGCTCTGTGGATTTGTACCTTGCCTCCCCCAGCATCTTTTTTACCTTTTGTTATCAGTCTACTGTCTTAAATGTCACTTTCTCTGGTGTGTGTTCTCTGACACCATAAGTCTGGGATGTGTATTTCTGTATGCATCAGCAGTTCTTAAACTACGTTGTAATTGCTTGTTCAGTTCTTGCCTTCTCCTGACTCTGTGTGTGTGTGTTTGTGTGTTTGTGTGTGAAGTCCATATGTATATATATACACAGCAGTCCAGCTTAGTATTTGGCACACAGAAGGTATCCGATATGTAACTAGTCAGTTGAAAATGAACTCCATCCTGTTTCTTCTCACTCTTAGCAGGTGACCTCAACTCCTCAAGTTCTCTCCTCACATGTTAATCTTTTCCTGCCTCTCAGTTTAAGCTGGATTCAGATGTCTACCATCATATCCTTGTAGGCAGAGATGGCTTCCAAATGGGATTCTTTGTACAGAGATTTTCCTCTGGGTTATTATTTACTGTTGGATATAAGATTGTGGTTTCTATGTAGTCTTCAATAATCTCTAAGTTTTGAGAATTAAGTAAAGATCATTGGAGTTTTAGTTTGTTTCAAAAACTTAAAAGCTTGGATGGTGGCAATGGTTGCAAAACAAATGTGAATGTACTTAAAGCCACAGAACTGTACATTTAAAAATGGTGAAAAGGAGAAATTTTATGTCATGTATAATTTGCTACACACACACAAACTTAAAAACATATTTTTCTTGGGCCAGCCCGGTGGCGCACTGGATAGTGCGCCGCTTGGGAAGCGCGGTGGCGCTCCCACCCGAGGGTTCGGATCCCACATACAGACCGGTTCCCGCTCACTGGCTGAGCGAGGCGAGGCGCGGGAGCAACGCCGAGGTTTGCAATCCCGTTGCCGGTCCCCGGTCCGGTGCGGGGGCAACACTGAGGGTTGCGATCCGTTGCCGGACACGGAAAAAAAAGACAAAAAAAAAACAAAAAACAAACAAACATTTTTCTCTTGTTTACTCATGTTACTTCCGTAGCCCGAGATATTCTTTGATGTCGTCAGCCTTTCAACATGGCAAGAAGTATTAAGTGACTCTCAACGTGAGCACCTCCAGCGGTTTCTGCCTCGCTTTCCTGAAGACAGCATTGAGCAGCAAAATGAGCTCATCCTGGCCCTGTTCAGTGGGGAGAACTTCCGCTTCGGAAACCCTCTGCACATTGCCCAGAAGCTTTTCCGAGGTCTGTAGCTTGGCATTCTTTTTTTTTTTTTTTATGATCACAAAGAGACCACATTTTTTTTAATTGATAACTCTAACAGGTGGAGGAAGTATTTCTCACCTTTTGATGGCCTCACTCAGAACTATTCTGCACTACAGAACAAGGAAATCTTTGCCCAACTCTGTTAAAGGGTACACAGATGAAGCATCTGACAATAAGATTTTTGATGAAAATTAGGCTATACACCAAGTTTGGGTGGAAAAACAATGCACCACCATGTGAGGACTAGCAGTCAGGACTTCCTGCCTCAGAATTTTAGGAGCCACCAATCTGGTTGGGAAAAACGCTAAGGCAGATACACATTCAAGCCATTCAACAGAGATCTAATGAGTGCACACCTATTAATCCATTCCTGAACTTCTCCCAGAAAACGCAACTTGAATGAAACTGGTTCTAACAGAAAGGATGAGAGAGTTAAGTGCAGAGCAGGAGCCTTTTCTTTACAGAACAGAAAAGTGATCCAAAGAGAGTGATGGCTTCTCATTTTCTGTCCCCTAAAGAGAATACAAACATCACTTTTTCTGTCATCTAACACACTGGCTTCATTTTCAAAATGCATCACTTTATTTTCCTCACAAGGCAGCCACACATTATAAACCTTAAACATGTGATAGTCACATGACTTCTTCAGTAAGCCCCAAGGCTTCCCAGAGCTTTCCTGGAGCTTAGAGCCGGAGGAGTCCTGAGGTTTCAAATATTAAAGCTTTCTCCACAGCCACAAGTTCCTTTGATGTTTGGGTTATTGAACACAAACTCACTGGATAATTTGTCTTCAACATAGTCCATTTCTGTTCCCAAAAGTGTTAGCTGTGCTTTCTTTTCGATGAATACTCTGACACCATCTTGAACAACTTCTTCATCAGAATCTCCTTTTGTCTTCGTATAGTCTAGAGTATAAGAAAGGCCATTACAGCCCCTGGTTCGGACACTAACTTTCACACCTACGTGCTCAGGCTTATCTTTAAGAAGCTGTTTTATCTTGTTTACTGCTGAAGGTGTCAGCGTGAGGGCGGCCCGAGTGGCCTGCAGCTTCCTCTTGCTCACAGCCCGGACAGTGGCCCGGACTAACGAAGCCGACATCTTCGCCGTCCCGGCGCCCCAGTGCCTCGGGCCGGAGCTCGAGCACCTCAGCCTCTCTCCATGGGCACAGTGGGTGCACTCTTGGCATTCTTTTTTGAGGGGGCGGAGGGTACGGACACAGTCACTTATGCAGATACTCCTTTCTTCTATTCTGCTTATTTTCATGTACAGTTACTGACACAGCAGAGAGTGGTTTTGTGTAACACTTTGCTGCGTAGGCCACTTTTTTTAAAAGAAAATTTTATTGAGGGCTGGCCAGTTAATTCAGTTGGTTAGAGCTTGATACGGATAACACCAAGGTCCAGGGTTTGATCCCTGTACCAGCCAGCTGCCAAGAAAACCAAAAGACAACAAAAAATATTATTGACTTTCATAGAAAATATATAATATGAATTCAGCTGTGTAACCACTACCCAGATCAAGAAATAAAACATTGAGGGGCTGGCCCGTGGCTCACTTGGGAGAGTGTGGTGCTGATAACACCAAGGCCACGGGTTCAGATCCCTATGTAGGGATGGCCGGTTCGCTCACTTGGGAGAGCCTGGGGCTGACAATACCAAGTCAGGGATTAAGATCCCCTTACCGGTCATCTTTAAAAAAAAAAAAGAAAGAAAGAAAACATTGGTAGCATCCCAAAGGGGCCCTTTATGACTAGTCTTTAAAAATATTAAACTTGCCGTTTACTTTATTACATGTATGTGTGTGTGTTTGTGTGGGTGGGTATACACACTTTTTTTTTTGCTGCAGAAAATGTGACACTTCACCACCAAGCACTTCAGCATGAGTATATCTCTGAACAAGGACATTCTCCCACACAATCACAGTCATGTTATCACACCCAAGAAATTTTACATTAAGCAAGTAATATCATAGAATATTCCATGTTCAAACTTTAGTTCTCTAAAATCCTTCATAATTGCTCTTAAATCCAGGATCCGTTCAGGGTTCATTCATTGTGTTTGGGTCTCACGTGTCTAGCTCTTTGAATCTAGGGCCCTCTGCCTTTCTTTTGGTCTTTCAAGACACATTTTTGAAGTGCCTAGGACACTTGAATTGTAAAGTGTCCTGCTTTCTAGGAATTTGTCTTTTTGTTTCCTCATGATTAGATTTGGGTTAATTACTTTTGGCAAGACACTGTGTGGGAAATGTTATCTTTCCTGGTGCATTACCTCAGGAGGCATATGGTGTTGGTTTTTCCAGTGGTGTCTCCCAGACCTTGACTGTAAGGGTATCTTTTTTCCTTTATAATTAAGAAGCAATCTGTGAGGTGATACTTTAGGACCATGTGATAATCTTATTTCCCACTTTGTTTTACCCGGTGGTTCTGCTTCCATTGGTGATCCTTGCCTGGATCAATTATCACATCAGGGGATGCAAAATTGTTTGGGACTACTCTTAAGTCACAGTTTGCTCTCTGTTCTTTGCGGAGGAACAGAGGAAGCTTCTTCCTCCCTCCTTTCTGAGGTGACTTTGTTTTGGCAGGAGGCCCTCAACAAGGGCAGCGTGTTTCCTTGAGTTTTGTTCAGCTGTAGAGCTTGACGACCCCTAAAGACTGGAGAAAGCAGGCTTGTCATTTCAAATCTCTCATTATCTTAAGGGTTTAAAATTAGCATTCATTCCTTTGATGAGTCATTAGTTTAAAGAGGAATTCCTCTCTGTGGTTTGCAGAGATCTATTTCACTGCACCTGAGGGCCTCAGGTGGGAGTACACCTCAGTATCTCCTCTGATAGAGCAGGAGTAGGGGAAACCGGGTTGGATTTAAAGGGGCTATGTGAGGACCTTATGTAATGGTAGCACTGTCTGTTGTGCTGGCGTGTTTCCCCCAAACGATATGGTAGCCTGGTAAGGATGTGAACAAGAAATGTCAAGGCAGGAATTTCTGCATTTTTCACTCTGACCAGTTCCATATTTCAGTTCTAGTGTTGCTGAGGAGAGTTGCATTACCATGGTTATCATGGTTATTAGCATTAACTGAGCCATCATTACTTTTCAGCATCCTTGAATTTTGGTTCTCTCTCTTGGTTCTCTTAAATACTCACTTTCTGTGGTACAGAGTTTACCTCATGTTAAACATTCATTAAATATTTGGAGACTGTTGCATATATAGTTGTATCTCTATTTTTTTTAAGATGGACACTTTAACCCTGAGGTGGTCAAGTACCGGCAGCTGTGCTTCAAGTCACAGTACAAGCGATACCTCAACTCTCAGCAGCAATATTTTCATCGGCTGCTGAAGCAGATTCTTGCTTCCCGGAGTGTAAGTAATGCTGAGAACTGGGTACAAAACATTGGCAGTGAACTCACAGATATCCTGGCTTCAGGAAGAAGTTCAGATGCAAAACATGAAAGATACTACTAAGAAAAAAATGTTACCAATTAGGGATGATATAACAAGATATGTCATCCTTTCTTATGATCAATTTTAAGATGTACCCCGATGTCGAGATGTTAAAACATGAAAAGAAAAAAAGAAAAAATTGCCTCCTAAAATTGATGAAATATAGTGGCCAGTTAGCTCAGTTAGAGTGTGGTGTTACAATACCAAGGTCAAGGGTTCAGATCCCCATATAGGAGCTGCCAAAAAAAAAAAAAAAAAAACATTGTATATATATATAAATAAAATAGCTTTAATTTTACCAATATAAAACATGGAATTCAGATCCATTGTGGGTTATGAAGGAAAGCTAGGATGCTCTGGAGTTGATGTGCAAGTGTGCACGGGCCTCTGGGTGCTGTGACAGTTAATGTAACCCACCAAGCTCAGTGGCGCCTCAGTCTGGACCAGCCTGGTAATTCCCCAAGGCAAACTTGTTTTGACTTTAAGTGATTCTTTAAGCTTCGGTATAGAAATACTTGGGTGTTTAGTATAGTAAATATTCTTGGTGGAGCAGTTCAGCTCTCAGATTTGGAATTTTCCACCATGTAATAATCAATGTAGTCCTTTTTTTTGTGGACATATTTATATATATGCATCTTTCTGATCTGGAGGAAGGGAATTGAGCTTGTTACACACCAAAGAGGAGAAAATGTAGAGTGTATATTGTCCCAGAAGGAGCTGTGGATGACGGTGTGTGCCCATCTGATCTCCTCCTAGGGCCTGCTGGAGATGGCCCGTCGGAGCGGCCCGGCCCTCCCCTTCCGGCAGAAACACCCTTCACCATCCCGCAGCCCTGAGGAGCGCGAGTGGCGAGCGCAGCAGCGCTACTGGAAGGTGTTGAGGGAGGTGAAGGAGGAGTGTGGGGACACAGCCCTGTCATCCGATGAGGAGAGTGAGTATCCTTGGGCACTTAAGGTAGCTGGGGTATTGGATTTACACCAGATGCTCGTCCAGTTGGAGCCAGTGGTAGCCATTTATCTCCCCAGCAAAGAAGCCCTGCACGTTGTCTTGTCAGGGAGGGGGTGGATAGTGGGACTCAGAAGCCCTTGGTCTTTGGGTCGCTGGGGCTTTGCTGTCAGGAGGGAGTGACTACATGCCTTTTACCCTGTGCTCATGCGGCATTCGAGTTTTGATGAGAACCTATTGGACGAATCCCTGCACGGCAGGGCTCTCTCCACAGTAGGCCTGTCTGGTCCCATTGTGCCACTTGAGAGAACTGCTTTTCCCCTTACAGGAGAGTAGTAGTGACTGTTGGCCTGCTGCAATGCGACCCCATCACTCTGTTGAAGTCTCTCTTCCTGGAAGAGCCGTTTAAATGACCTAAGTGTGCTCCAGTTCGTCTGGGGAAGGGTCAGAAAGGAATGTGGAACCCTGGCCTCCATGTTGTTGCCTTAGCCTTGTTGAATCCAAATGGCCACTTACCCAATCTCCCCTATTGGAGTCCACAGCCACGTTGGATTTACAAGAAAAATTTTCTTTTGAAGATCTCAGCTCGTGGCTTCCAAGCTCTCCAGCACGTTCTCCTAGTCCTGCGGTGCCCCTGAGGGTGGTGCCCACGCTTTCAACCACGGATATGAAAACCGCAGGTGAGAACTGAGCTGATGCTGCCGCCATTCTGGAAGTCCTGGAGCAGATCTGAGAACTCCCTTAGGGGGAGGTAGGGACTAGATTCTCACCTGCCAGCAAAACAGAGCAGTGCTCCTTAGAGTGAGGCAGTGTGGAGAAGCTTTCGTACCATTCCACTTTTTTACTCTGGAGGTAGGCCTGCCTTCTTTCCTTTGTTTTGAGAATTTTCCTTAAAATGACATGATCAGCTGGTTTTGGAATAAAGAAAGCAGAAACTTAAAATAGAAGGGACAGTTCAGTAATAGAAGAGGTAATCAGAGCCATAACAGTTTCCTAGAATGTTGATGAAATTGGAGAAGAGTTTTTATTTGAAACAGGAACCAAAGAAGAATGTTAACCTGTAGTGTGTTTTAGGACCATCTAAGTAGCTGAAGTCATTGCTATTGACCAATGTATAGAAAAATGGAAATGTTGATCTTGTGACTGTTTCAAGGTTTTTGGACTTGTTGTACACAGGGGTCAGCAAGGAAACTCAGAGAAATATCTTACTTTTGAATGTCAGAGGTGACTAGAAAGATTTAAGCTGGAGCATTGTGATAGTGAATGACCTAGTCCATATGGTTTGGTTCATTTTCTCTCAGATAAAATAGAACTGGGGGACAGTGATCTGAAGATAATGTTAAAGAAGCACCATGAGAAGCGGAAGCATCAACCAGTAAGCTTGGGGGGTGTGTGTGTCAGTGGTTTTCAGTTTGGTGTCTCTGGAGTGGCTGTCCAAGGAAGATTCAGGCAGTCTCCACCTCGTTTATGCATCCTCATTGTCATTTAGGGGTCAGGAGCAACCAGAGGCTAGTTAGCATCAAAGACGGGAGACAGGTGCTTCTTAGCATAGTGTCTGCTTTAATCTTCACAAGGACACAGTTTATATTACTCATTATGTCTGTTTTACCAGTGCTCAGAGAGGTTAAGGAGCTGCTTCTTGGTCCTACAGCCAGTAAGTGGCAGAGCCAAGAGTCAGACCCTGTGCTCTTCCCACTTTTTACTGTTTACATTACTCTTCTCTGCCAAACCAAGGTAGTGCCAAACCAGACTGAAAAGATGATATCTTCAGGAAGAAAAGACAGCCCGTCTGAGGCAGAGAGGTGAGGTGGGACGAGTCTCTCTCACATTCGAAGTCAGAATGGAGTTCTGGGCTTGGCCGGTTAGCTCAGTTGGTTAGAGTGAAGCCTTATAACACCAAGGACATGGGTTTGGATTCCCGAACTGGCCTGCTGCCAAAAAACAAAAACAAACAAACCAAAAAACTCTCTCCATATCAGAACTAAGTTCTCTCTTTCTGTTCCACTTACTGTGATATTGGGCAGATCCGTTAATTTTTTTGAGCCCCATTTTCAGACTTTGTAAAATATAGTAATACTTAATACAGTTTGAAGAGGACTGAGATAAGGAGTGCAGAAGAGCTTCATAAACTGTAAATGCTGCCGAAAAAAAAAAAAACTGTAAATGCTGTACAGTAGAAGGGTTGGAACTGGAGTATTATGCACCATTATGAAAAGCAATAGTTTTTATCTCTGAATAATTTTAATTCAACAAGATTCCCTCAAGTGTACCCAACATTTAATTGTATCTGTTAGGTAATTGGCAAAATCACCACCAGTTTTTGCTTCTTTTTTGGTCCTCCATAACCAAATCTCTGAATATCACATCCAGGATCACCCGGACCTTTTGACAGGGGACCTGAGCCTCAATGACATTATGACTCGAGTAAACGCTGGCAGGAAGGGCTCTCTTGCAGGTAAATGACTGTGGGTCCCCTCTAGGTAGCCATCATCTGACTGTGGTGTTAATTGCATGAGCCCATCTACATGTGGCAAAAATAAGTGAAACCACAGCTTCCTTCCTTCTGATGACTTTGTTTTGTTACTGCTTCTTATGGACTTATAGGTGGGAAATAAATTTAAAATCAGTACAACAGATCATCGGCTCTTAATAGGTGTTAAAATTAAGCTGTAAATCACTCATTGAAGGCGTGGCCGGTTAGCTCAGTTGGTTAGAACACAGTGTTGTAACACCAAGGTCAAGGGTTTGGATCCCTGAACAGGTCATCTGCCCCCCCAAAAAAATCATGCATTGAGTGGTTGGAAAAAAATAAACACCTAAATGTCTTATTACAGAGACTTTTTTGTCTTTGACTGGTGGACCTTGGGAAAAGAATGCAGATAAGACATCTTACCTCCTGCTGTAGAAAATGTAGTTCTGTGACAGGTGGCGTTTTTTCTTCCTAGCTCTATATGACTTGGCTGTCCTCAAAAAAAGGGTTAAGGAGAAAGAGGAAAAGAAGAAGAAGAAAATGAAAACGATCAAATCAGAGGCAGAGGATCTGTCTGAGCCCCTAAACCATACTGAAGGAGTCCCATCTCTTTCAGAGGCCCCATCTCCACTGGCAACACCTGCTATTAAGGAAGAGTGAGTGAGCAGCAGCTTACATAATGCTTGGGGTGAAAGTTTAAGTTGAGGGCTGTCCTCAGTCTTCTGGGGTTGGTTGTGAGCTGGCTGGAAGTGTGGGACCTGTGAGCCCTGAGTCCCAGGGATCCTGCTGGGAGAGTGTATTGTGTGCTTCTTTCCTGAGCTTTCTTATGACTGCTAGGAGACTTGGGGGCCCTGAACCAATCTAGGGATATGTTTTTGGTCTTTTTGGTTGTTAAGTTCTTCTTCCCTCATTAGGCCCCTTGAAGACCTCAAGCCTTGCCTTGGAATCAATGAAATATCTTCCAGCTTTTTCTCTCTTCTGTTAGAGATCTTGCTGCTGGAGGGTCAGGCTAGCCTTCCTATGGTAAGAGTTTTGGAAAAGTAAGATGTACATCAAAGTTTTTAAATTGTCAAAATCTTTAACAGTCTATAGCTTGAAGTGGAACATTGGGTTCCTCCCAAAGCTCTGCAGCTAACTTGCTTTGTAACTTGGGCAAACTCTGGACAAGTATACCCAGCTTGCTGTGGCACATCTGGGGAATTTCCTTGTACAAGAGAAATCTAACTGTGTTCTTCCTTTACTTTCACTCAGCTAGAGGAGCGAGTGTTGGATTGGCAGTCATCTCCAGCCAGCTCTCTCAACAGCTGGTTCTCTGTGGCCCCCAACTGGGCTGAGTTGGTGTTACCAGCCCTGCAGTATCTTGCTGGAGAAAGCCGAGGTAAGGTACTTTTTTATGTAGGGTCAGTATTTTTTCCCCCTTTTGTCTAATTAATCCTTATAGTAAACTGCACCTTTGCTTGTCTGAACCATTATGCCTTTGTATAATCCCATGCTTTGGAAGTCTCTGCTATCCTGATATGCTGTGAAACATTCAGAAGCTGTCTCAGAGCTCAGGGATACCAGTTACTTGTGAGGTCAGCGCTCTCTGACCTGTGTGGCTTGTTGATGTGATCTGTTTCTTGCAGCTGTTCCGTCCAGTTTCTCTCCATTTGTTGAATTCAAAGAGAAAACTCAGCAGTGGAAATTACTTGGTAAGTAATTCCTATTACCTACTCCTAACAATAGGCTTCATTTTCTCATTTCCTCAAATCCTAAGCTCCTTATGTCTTCCAGTCAATACAGTCCACCAGATTGGCAAAAACGGCAATATTAGATTTTACTTATTTTGCTCTGTGAAGGAATCCTTTTGTATTCTCGAGATATGGGTTTCATCCCGCCCCCACCCACATGTTGGACTTTGGCTCACTGAAGCTGAGGTGGGATAGCCCTTTCGTTATGGTGCAGTCTGGTGATGTCTAAATTTAAATCTGCACGGGCATTTTATAATAGCACCAACATTTATATTGACCATACCAATGGTTTGGGATTAATTTGTAATACAATTTTTCTTTTCTACAGATGGGCTTTGTCATTGAGGATAATGTGCAGCAAGCTGTTGGACAGCCCCACATAGGCTATTTCTAAAGAACAGTGTCTTTAGTTTTAATTTATAAAGCCCCACTTAGTGTTTAAATTGCCATAACATGCATCTGAAGTAACTTGGTGGCTATCACCTGGTGATAGTGATGAGAGGGAAATTCAGTGTTGGTTTTCTATTGAAATTCACAGATCCTTTTTTCTCTCTTAAGTGGTCTATAAAGATGATATAATGGAGAGCAGGTTATGGAAGCAGCAGATTCATTTATTCCTTATAATATTTATTCAACTGTAGGTGTCAGGCACTGTGCTAGATGCTAGGGTGTAAAGGTACACGTCACCGTGCTCCCTCGTGGGGCCTAAGGTCTGTTTGAGGAACAAATACTCATTCAAATTAAACAATAACTGATCATTTCTGTAAAGGAAAAGTACCAGAAAGGATGGGAGTCTATATTAGGGATTGATGTGGTTTGGAGAGTCAGGGAGGCCCTTTCTGAGGGAGTAGTGTTTGAGCAGAGAGCCCTGATGAGTAGGTGTGCGCTGGGCAGACAGAGGGGAGGAGTGTGCAGGTGTAGGAAGCCATGCACATCGGAGTGCTGGGGAGATGCGCTGAGAAAGATTGCATGATCCAGTGTGAGCCACGGTGTTGATCTAGACCCAGGAAGAAAGAACGGGTAAAAAGGAAGAGCGATGTCAGACCTGGCATCTCTAGATTTGTGTCAAGTGGAGAAAGGGGCCCTTCATCGAGGTAGGCAGCTGTGGAGGACTAGACCAGGTGAGGGTGAAGGCCACAAGTTTAGTTTTGGACGAGCTGAGTTTGAGCTGCTTTGAGGTATTTAAGTAGAGATGCTGAATAGGTGTAGGATATGTGGATTTAGAATTCAGAACCAGAGAATTAAGGTAGGGAGTTGTTGGCATGTATGTTGTAAAGGGCATAGGTGATGCTGTTTCCTAGGGAGAAAGGTAAGGTGAGGAGAAGAGAGGGCCTGGAGAAACCTCACAGAGGAGCCCGCTGCGTGGAGGGAGAGCGTGAGGAGAGGATGCGACCACAGAGTGGGGAGGAAAACCCTGAGGTGGTTGAGTCTTCGAAGATGAGGGACAGGAGCACCTAAGACTGGGGAGTGATCGTTAACCTGCATTGTTACTAAAAGAGCCAGTAAGGAGAAAGACTAAAGGTTTGTGGTCATGGAAGACATTAAGAGTTTTCAGTAAGAGTGTTTCCTTAGCGGAATGCTGAGGGTAAAGGACAGTGTGAGCTGAAGGTGACTCATGAGAGCTGACTGTGCAGCTCTTCCCGACAGGTGGGTGGCTGGAGTCAACCGAGGTGGCACGCCAGCGGTTGGCACACTGTTTCTTTTAAAGGACCAGAAAAGTATTTTTAAGCTCGTGAGCCAGATCCTTTCTGTTGCAACTACTCAACTCTGCTGTTGCAGAGCAAAGCCATTGTAGACAGTATGTAAATGAATGGGCGTGGCTATATTCTTACACTATCGAAATCTGCAAGTGCTGCCAGGGCCCCCTTTCCTGCAGCCAGTTAAACATTTTTCGGTGCACCACTGGTTAAAGGGACAGTGGCTCGAAATAGCTCTTTCTAGAAGTTTAATAGGAGAAGGGATGATAGTAAGGGGGACTTTAGGCCAAGAGAGGAATTTTTTTAAATGGAAGAAATCTTGAACGAGTTTAAGTGCCGATGGGAAGGGTACAATGCAGAGGAAAAGTTGAAAATAGGGAGAGAAGAGAAAATGCACCATAAATTCCTGAGAAGGGGGGAAGGATTGGCCTTGTATGGTAGGAGGTGGCACTTTTCTTCTTGTAGGAGGAGGAAAGGAGGAAATGATGGATACACAGCAGTGGGCTTATAGGTTTTATCATGGGAAGTTTGGTCCATTGGCTTTTCTGTGTAAAGTAGGTGTTGGTGTTGGTAACACCAAGGTCAAGGGATGGGATGCCCATACTGGCCAGCCACCAAAAAATAAGTAGGAGGTGAGAGAGGTGAGGTTGTCTGTTGCTAGCGAGAAGGGAGGTTGGAAAAGAGTGGCGAAATAGTCATTCTGGAGTGTGGGAAAACGGCTACACCAGCGGCAACCTGAGGACTGCGAGCAACGTTGAGGACAGGGGGAAGCTGATTGTCATTCGCTTATCGTGTCACTCTTTGCCTGTTTGTGCAGAGTTTTTTCCTGGCGGCCCTCAACTGCTTGATTTGAAGTGTGTAGAATATAGGTAGTTTAGAATTTGAATTCTGCTGTGTGGGGACACTGCACAGGTAGAAGGGCAGAGGTAAAAGTGTTGTTGAAATGACGGACTTGGGATCTGAGCTGAATAGGGAGAAATGAGCGATGGATGGGGCTGATGTGCCTAGTGTGCCTTTGTGCCCCGCTAGCCAGAAGTCTTTCTTCACTGACAAGACTAGGATAAGTCCCTGCTGCAAGCTATCGTAGCACCTTTGTGACACCTCCCACTTGTAGAAGTGACTTAATACATGCTCTCTCCTCACTTGACTATAAAGTCGCGAGGGCAGAGACTGACCCCACTGAACGCCCCCTTCACATGCAGTGTCTGCACACAGTGGCTGCTCAGCACATACCTACTGAATGAATGATTTAATTCAGTGACATTCAAGAGTGGTGGTCCATGCAGACAGTGAATGGAAGGGCAGTGCCTGTGTAGGGAATTGTGCTACAGATCCTGATAGAGTCTCTCTCTGGTATAGACATAGCAGGTAAAGAGGAAGTGGGGTTCTGAATAACACCTTAGATCGTTTTCTTACATTTTGTCTTTTTGTTCCTCTAATAGGCCATTCTCAAGATAATGAAAAGGAATTAGCTGCACTCTTCCAGCTGTGGCTAGAGACCAAAGACCAGGCCTTCTGTAAGGTATGGTTTTTAAGAAATACCAGATCTTACTCATTGGGTTTTCAGAGCCTGTAAGTTAGCCAGAACTATTTAGTTTATTTACCTGTTAATGTTTTCCTTTCTCCAGCAAGAAAATGAAGACAGCTCAGATGCCACAACACCTGTCCCTCGGGTGTGAGTATAATACTGTAACGGCGGGTGGTGTCCCATGTAGCCATGGTTTAAGGTGCTGCCATGAAACCATGGTGATATTTCTTAGTATGTTAGAGCTGTAATGGACTTTAGAGATGCTAGGTGTCCACTTACTCTAAACCTGCCTCAACATACCTGAGAAGTTTAATGTACTCCCATCAGTTAGAGTGGTTCCCTGTGGAAGAGGCTCTTGACTGGGAGAGGAGACTGTACAGTAGAGTCTCTGAGTGACATGTGATCTACCTTGTAGGTAGACATAATTTTTTCTCTGTGTACCCCTCCCTGGGTTCCCATTTGAGAATGGTTCATCTAATACAACTCCCTCATTTTATCTATAAAGAAATCGAGGCTTGAGGTTAAGTGACCTGCTGAAGGTTACTGACAGGATCCTGGCTAGAATTTAGACCCTTTGACTGCTACTTCTGGACTGTCTATGTCACATGTTTTCACATTACTGTTTCCAGCCAGGGGTGGTTCTGTAGTTAGATTTCCGAACACTAGCACAGGGGCCCAGCCTAATTGTGGCAGAACTGTTGCTTCACATAATAGGGGTGTAGAACTCAAGTTTTGGGTACTTTCCTGGGAGGCAGAAAAACTACCCTAATGTAACACATTTGAAGTCCTTTGTTCCTCTAAGGCTGAATTTGTTATTGCTGTTAGATTAGGCTTACTTAGCAGTAGTATTAAAAGCAGTTGGTAAAAATGTCAGCCTCTTTCCCACCTACCTGTACATTTCTAGTTTCTAAGAATCCAGTAATTTAGGAAATACCAACAGGAATTTCTTGGTAGAAGCTGGAAAGTGGACCTTTTACCTTTGCAAGAATTGATATTTAGGAAGGGATTTCTCTTGTTGCAAAGGGAGTGGTTCTGGTTGCTGAAGAAGGAGTGATGGGTCCGTGGCCCACATGCTAGCTCACAGAATTGATGCAAAATTCTTTACTTTCCAGAAGAACTGACTATGTGGTACGGCCCAGCACAGGTGAGGAGAAACGGGTTTTTCAGGAGCAGGTAAGAAATACCTAGAAGCCAGTGTAACTTTGTGCTTCTCTGAGGCCATGCAGACGCTCTGAGCTGACCTTGCATCTGCATTTTTGGAGGAGGTTCATACCCTCACCTTAGATATTCTTTTGGTTGGGATTGCTTGTGGGGGTGGAAATGGCTTGAGGTAAGGGAATGAGAAATACTTAGATGGTTTCTTCTTCCAGATAGCAAAATGCATTTATAATTTCTCCTTGTTTCTTTGCTCAGTGACTGGCTCTGTGGACTGTCCTTTTTCTACTGTGGTTGGCTCAGTATTCCTAGTGGAATTGCCTGTTTCCTTCCTGTTTTCATTTTTCCACATTGATCCCTTTATTGAGGTGAGCTCTGGACAGAACCTCACTAATTCTGACTTAGGAGCCATCTCCCTTTTTCTCTTGGTAGGAGCGCTACAGGTACAGCCAACCGCACAAGGCATTCACCTTTCGCATGCATGGCTTCGAGTCTGTGGTGGGGCCAGTGAAGGGTGTGTTTGACAAGGAGACCTCACTTAACAAGGCTCGGGAGCATTCCCTGCTGCGCTCCGACCGGCCTGCCTATGTCACCATCCTGTCTCTTGGTATGTGGTGTGTACTTGTTATCAGGGATCCCTTACCCCACAGCTCTTCTCTAATCAACTGTGAACTCTGTCCTCCCCCCTCCTCCCCAGGGTTGGCTTTGGGGTGGTCAGGTATAGCTTTTGGAAACTGTGGCATTTGGGATGTAAAAGGGGAATTCTACCCCCAGAGATTTATGCTGGAAATAAGTGTTTCTTCCTGAAGTCCTGGCTCACGTTTATGTTCATTTAGAAATTGCTCACAGGCCAACTAAGAAGTTAGGTTGAATGTAGGAATTTGCTTCCTCCAAGCTATGATTGCTTTAAAGATGAGGGTTTTTAACCTTTTTTTGTGCCATGAATCCCTTTAGCAGTCTGATGAAACCTGTGGACCCCTTCTCAGAATTGTGTTTTTTGTGTGTGTGTGATCATTAGTTTCAGTTTCTCATTAATAATAGACATTATATGCAGAGAATATACATCCACATATAGTTTTTCCCCATTTTTTCCTGTGGAATAATGGACACAGAATCAACTGTACAAATTTAACATATACATTCTAATAAGTTTGACACAATTTGATAATGTAGACACCTGTGAAACCAGCCATTACTGCAAAGTAGTGAACATATCCATCACCTCCCAAAAGTTTTTTTTTTAATTGAAAGATAGGTGATTATATATATTTCTGGGGTACAGAATCGAATGTCAGTACATGTGTCCAGTATGTGGTGATCAAATCAGGATAATTAGTATACTCATGTTTACCAAATGTAATCAATCTTTGTGACCTTTAACTAAGAAGTATGCTCTTAAATGCATAAAATAAAATGCATAGTTATAAAAAAAACGTTGAAATTGTTATTAAGATGTTAAAACACATTTATGGTGCACAAATAATGTGTTTTTATTATGATATTAAAGGACAAGATCTACCAGCAGCTCTTATAACTCCTGTCATTTCCAAATAGTGATGAATGTCAGTGTTATTTTGAGTTGCCTCAATAGCTGTAATGCATGAAAATACCTGATATCTATTACAGCATCACAGCATTGCCAGTATATGGTTTGGTATCTTTGTACATAATTGAAGGAAATGCTAAATTTAAGTTAAAGATGTAATTTTTTTCTCACCCGAATTCTGGGCCCTCTGAATTCTAAACTGTATGTGGACTTTCACTGCCATCTTGCCTAAAAGTGTGGAGTGTATAGGAAACTCTGGTGGCAGAGATGCCAGCCACTAGAGGGCAGTGTGCGCCTGAAGCTGAGTCTGGTCAGGCAGAGAGAGGAACAGTAGTAACCGCAGGCGAGCTCCACCCACCAGATCAGGTCAGGGATGGTGTTCTGCAGCAGGAGCCCAGCTTGACTCTTGAATATTGCATTTTCTGATGTCATCAGTTCGAGATGCCGCGGCACGGCTGCCTAATGGAGAAGGCACACGGGCAGAGATCTGTGAACTGCTCACGGACTCTCAGTTTCTTGCACCAGATGTCACCAGCACTCAGGTACGATGGGGAAGAGATTACTTTTGCATTGTTCCAGAATGGATTTAAGAACTTATTAGGAAATAGAAAATAAAACATAAATTTTTAAAAACCAGAATGAAGAAGGGAAAAAAAATCTTTTATTTTTTTGTCTTTTTTCGTGTCCGGCAACGGATCGCAACCCTCAGTGTTGCGCCCGTACCGGACCGGGACCGGCAATGGGATCGCAACCCTCGGTGTTGCTCCCGCACCTCGCTCAGCCAGTGAGCGGCCGGTCTGTATGTGGGATCCGAACACTCGGCGGGAGCACCACCACGCTCCCAAGCGGCGCACTGTAGCAGTGCGCCACCGGGCCGGCCCTGGAAAAAAAAAAAATCTTGAAAAATGTATACAGTGATAACCAAAAGCCCTTGCTGTCAGTGAAGCACACATTTGTCTCTAGGGTTTCCTTTAGTTTATAGTAAAGGGAAGGCTGGTCGGTTACTTAATTCACAACATCATTACAGTGAAAATAGATCAATATCTCAGTAGTTTTACAGCATCTCTTGTTTTGCCAAATGATTTGGGAGGGCACAGCTAAGCTGAGATATAATCTGTTCATCAGCTGTGACTTGTACCAGATTTTTCTCTAGCGTCCACATAACTTCTGTTATCTGGGTCCTACTTGTCCCATTTTCCTTTATTCTGGTTCATAGGTGAATACAGTAGTGAGTGGTGCCCTGGATCGGCTACATTATGAAAAAGACCCTTGTGTTAAATATGACATTGGGCGAAAACTGTGGATCTACCTGCATCGTGACCGGAGCGAGGAAGAGTTTGGTATGTGAGGCCTCCGGGCAGTATGTCCAACTAGACTAGGGATGCTTTTGACTTTCTGCCCCAATTCCATTCTTTTCATTGGCATTCAGGCAGGACAGGATTGTAGAGGCAAGATTCAGCCTACCAGCAAGGCCTTAGTATTTAATGAAGCGCCCCTTCTTGGTATGCTAAGGTTAAACTCTTGCTGAAGCTTACCATTCTTGTTTACAGAGCGGATTCACCAAGCACAAGCAGCTGCAGCTAAAGCCAGAAAAGCTCTTCAGCAAAAACCCAAGCCCCCATCCAAAGTGGTAAGTGACCTCATGAGAGCATCTGCCTTCAGGATTCTGGGATGGAGATAGCTTGGAATGGATACTCAGCTGTCATGTAACTCAGTGTGTCAGGAGCCCCAAGAAACTTCATGACACCAGCAGGTGAGTTTCCTTTTATCTTCCTTTTTAGAAGTCTAGTAGCAAGGAGAGCTCCATAAAGGTCCTCGGCAGTGGCCCTTCCGAGCAGAGTCAGATGAGCCTCAGTGACTCCAGCATGCCACCCACCCCGGTCACACCTGTAACCCCCACTACGCCAGCCTTGCCTGCCACCCCGATCTCCCCTCCACTTGTATCGTCGGTAAACAAAAGTGGCCCTGCCACTGTCTCAGAACCAGCTAAGTCTAGCTCAAGGTAAGCATCTCCATTTTTTTTCCTCTAGCTTTTTCTTTCCAAAGTCTTTTTATGTGCATGTCCTAAGTTTTTATCTTTTGTTTTTCCCTGATTTTCCTTATAGTGTTCTTCTGGTGTCCTCGCCAACAATGCCACAGCTGGGAACAAAGCTTTCCCCAGCTTCCAGCCAGACGCCACCCAATGCTCAGGCCGCTGCCCGGGTCGTGAGCCACTCTGGCTCGTCTGGACTACCACAGGTGCGGGTGGTGGCCCAGCCCAACCTTCCTGCTGTCCCCCAGCAGTCAGCAGGGTCAGCACAGACACTGCCACAGATGCCAGCAGGACCACAGATCCGGGTTCCAGCCACTGCCACACAGACCAAAGTGGTGCCCCAGGTAAACAGAGAAGCTGCAGGTCATTGGGAAACAGCCAGCAGCCCCAGAGGTGGGTGATGAGTCAGACGGGCAGAGTCCAGGCAAGGACCAAGGAGCCGTAGGTTATTGCTGTTGATGGTGATGGTCATCGAAACAACTCATTTAATGTTCAAAGCTGGGTAATAAGCATTTTTAGATATTCTGTTTTATGTTGGGAATCAGACCTTCAGAGAAGTTTAGTGATTTACCCAGGATCCTAACATGAGGACCCTGGTACAGGTGGGGTGTAAATCTAGGCCTTGTGAATCTGAATCTCAGGCTCCTTCCATTGTGCCTCTAGTCTTGGCCATACCACTAACTAGTTGTGTGATTTTAGAGACAGTTCAGATCCTCTTTGCCTTGGTTTCCTTTACCGTAAAAGGGGTGTGTTTCTCCTCAGTGGATAGGAATAAAAGGAGATATTACACTTAAAGCATTCTGAAAATTAACATGTTTACACAGATCTAAGGAGTGTGCAGCGTCTGTTTTAGGGAGTGGTGAGCCTCGAGCACTGTTGGGCTGCAAGTGCTTTGATAGGAACACTTCCTGAGGGTAGCATATGGGAGACTGCCTGGAGTGCTGGGCTTCATCTCAGTGTCTAATTATGCTCTCGGCCTCACGCCCTGCACTAGACAGTAACGGCCACTGTTCCAGTCAAAGCGCACACGGCAACGGCCACTGTGCAGCGGCCCGGACCTGGGCAGATGGGGCTCTCGGTGACAAGTCTCCCTGCCGCAGCCAGCTCTGTGAGCAAGCCAGCCACCAGCTCTCCCGGGAGCTCTGCTCCAAGTGTCTCCACGGCTGCCGTCATTCAGAACGTCCCAGGACAGAACATTATCAAGCAGGTAAGTGGAGCTCTCTCCAGGTGGCTCTGACTCCTTAGTCTTCAAGCAGACGGCCGCTGGAATGGGAGGCTTTTGAACAGACTGGGTGCCCATGGAAACAAGATTTGCTGTCTTCGACACTGAGTTTATAGGTACTTCGAGTTGAGTTCCCACCAAAGGCAGCCTTTACAGATGCCGAAGAGATTCCTTTTGTTTGTTTCCATATAATTCAGTATTTAATAGTTGAGTTTCTGGATTAGGAGTAGACTCTTCATGAATTTAAAGTCTTACTCCTACGGCCATATTTTATTGGCTTTTCAGTTTCCAACTAGTAAAATTAGACTATGTTTGTACTTTGTTGGTTGTGAATATGAAAGGATAATCAGTGGACTTCAGAGAATTGTTAGGCAGAATAGCAACTAATACAGGAGTTTCCTGTTTGCCTGTACCGTGCTGAGCATTTTATGGATTTTAAATAATCTGATCCTCATAGCACTGTGGTGTAGGCACTTTTGTTATCCCCCTTTTACAGATGAAGAAATGCAACCACATAATGATGAACTAACTTTTTTTTTCATTCAACAAATATTTATTGAGTACCTTTTGTGTGCTACTGTTAAGTGTTGGGGATTTAGTGGTATATTAAACAGGCTAAGTCTCTGTCTTTGTGGAACTCATGTTCTCATAGAGCTGGGAGACAGACAAACCCTCCAGTGTGGGTCATAAATGCTGGGGCCCTCAGCAGACAGGGGAAGGGGTGGAGAATAGTGGTGTGCTGTTTAGCTCGGGTGATTGGAGAAGGCCTCTCTGAGGAGATGACATTTGAAAGAGAGATGAGTGAAGTCAGTGTGCTGCATGGGGAAGCTCAGGAGTTAAAACATTCCAGGCCTGGGAATGGCCAGTGAAAATGTCTTGTGTCAGGTCAGGAGTATGATTGAGGAACGACAGGAAAACCATGTGGCTGAAGCTTAGTGAGCAAGATTATGTTGGACTTGGGTTTTAATGTGAATGTGATGGGGAGCCGCTGGGAGCTGGGGAGCCGGGTAACTTGCTTGGATTTACAGTTAAAGAAACCCTGGCTGCTAGGTGGAGTGAGGTGTGGGGATAAGGATGTCACCAGAGGAGTCTGGGAGGCAGCTGCATCAAGTAGTCCAGTGAGAGGGCATGCTGGCTTCGATTAGACGAGCCGTCTTGGAGATGGCAAGAAGCAGTGGCATTCAAGATACAGTTGAAGGCAGGGCCAGCGTGATTTTCTGGTCACTTGAGTATGGGTCTGAGGGAAGGGAGTTGGGATTGATCCCGAGGTTATGGGCTTGGGTGGCTGGGCTTCTCAGAAGAAAATTGAGGCATGGAGACTGCAAGACAAAGAGAAGTGTGCTCATGAAGGAGGGAGAGCACCTGTGTCAGGTGTGGTGAAGGCATGTGAGAGCTGAGACTTGCCGTAGTTAGTTAGTGGGCATAGCTGGTCCAGGGGTTTGGTGGCTTTTTGGGAATGGATTTAAAAGAGAATGTTTATTAGTCCATTTTGTGTTGCTATAACAGAAATACCTGAGACAGGGTAATTTATAAAGAACAGAGGTTTATTTGGCTTACAATTCTGGGACAGCTGCATTTGGCACAGACCTCAGGCTGCTTCTGCTCATGGTAGAAAGCGGCAGGGAGCCAGTGGGTACAAGCAGATCACATGGCGAGAGGAAGCGAGAGAGAGAGAGAGAGAGAGAGAGAGAGAGAGAGCGGAGGTGCCAGGGTCTTTTAAACAACCAGCTCTTGTGGGAACTAATAGAATGAGAACTCACTCAGGCCCCTCACCCCCAGGGAGAGCATTAATCCATTCATGAGGGATCTGCCCCCGTAACTCAAACTGCCACACTTGGGATCAAATTTCCACATGAGTTCTGGGAGGACAGTACATCCAAACTCCATCAGAACGTAAGGTGAGGAAGTGGAGGCAGGAGCATAGGTAATTATTAGATGAATTTTGCTTCTGAAGAGAGCAGAGAACTGGGGCTGGTGTGGAATGTAGAGTGGAGCAAAGGAGGCAGAGGGAGGTGTGGGGTCAGGCCAGGGTTGGTTGTATTTTAGGATGGGAAGTGTTACAGAATGTTTGCATTCTGGTGGCAGTGGTTCAGGGGAGGGGGAGAAAATTGATCATGCCACGGGGAGAGGAGTCCCTGAGTAGCCTAGAAGGGTTGCATCTGTTACTCTTGGACGAACTGGCCCCACATAGGAGCTGGTGTATGAACCCTGCAGGTCTGGCTCCAGAGCCCTCGCTCGGGACCACCATGCCACACTTCTGCTGTCAGAGTGGAGGTTGGCCCAGCTATAAACATTTCTGAGACAGTTGAGGAAATGTGAATATATGTTGATGTGATTATGTTAGTAATGATAGCATTGTGATTATATATTTTTTTAGTTTAAAAAGTCCTTTTCTGATTTAGAGATGTGTACAGAAGTATTGATCAGTAAAATGATATATCTTGGATTTACTTTAAAATATTCCAATTTCCTCCCCCTCCCCAAGTGGGGAAGGATAGATAAAATAAGATTGATAAGTGGTAACTTTTGAAGGTGGGTAAAAGAAATGGGTTTGTTACACTAGTTTCTACTTTTGTGAATGTTTACCATTTTTCAGAATAAAAAGTTAAAAAAAAGTATGAAACGTACACCCATGAAACGGAGGTTTGCCTGATTCTGCTGCGTAACCCCCTTAGCCCAGTGAATCCCTTCATCAGTGCTGCTTCCTCCCCATGCAGGTGGCCATCACTGGGCAGCTTGGGGTGAAGCCCCAGACAGGCAACAGCATCCCACTCACAGCCACTAACTTCTGTATCCAGGGTAAGGATGTATTGCGCCTGCCACCCTCTTCCATCACCACAGATGCCAAGGGCCAGACGGTTCTGCGAATCACTCCGGACATGATGGCCACATTAGCCAAGTCCCAGGTTACCACAGTCAAATTGACCCAGGATCTCTTCGGGACAGGAGGCGGCACTACAGGCAAAGGCATCTCTGCAACCTTACACGTCACTTCTAATCCAGTCCATGCAGCTGATAGCTCTGCCAAGGCCAGTTCAGCCAGTGCCCCTTCATCAGCTGCAACAGGAACCACTGTGGTCAAAGTGACTCCTGACCTCAAACCAACAGAAGCCTCAAGTTCAACTTTCCGCTTGATGCCAGCCCTTGGTGTGAGTGTGGCTGACCAGAAGGGAAAAAACACAGTGGCTTCTTCAGAAGCAAAACCAGCTGCCACAATCCGCATCGTGCAGGGCCTGGGAGTGATGCCTCCCAAAGCAGGCCAGACCATCACAGTCGCAGCCCATGCCAAGCAAGGGGCCTCAGTGGCCAGTGGGTCTGGAACTGTCCATACTTCAGCAGTGTCCCTGCCCAGTATGAATGCCGCTGTGTCCAAGACTGTGGCTGTGGCTTCTGGGGTTGCAAGCACTCCCATCAGCATCGGGACAGGAGCCCCCACTGTGCGGCAGGTCCCTGTCAGCACCACAGTTGTGTCCACGTCCCAGGCTGTGAGTAACAGTAGTGGTAAAGAGTAGCCCTTCTGTTTGGGAGGCTTCTTAAGGCTGTTTAACTCCCATCACACGAGATTCCCTAAGAACCAGAAAACTTCTTTTGGGGAATAGAAATTAGAAGCCCTGTTTGTATCACCTCGTGTGACACAGATTTATTAACTGATAGTTTTTTGGTTTTTTTTTTTTTTTTGACCAGTAAGGGGATCGCAACCCTCGGCACGGTGTTGTCTGTACCACGCTCAGCCAGTGAGCGCACCGGCCATCCCTATATAGGATCCGAACCTGCGGCCTCGGCGCTACCAGCGCTGCATTCTCCCAAGTGAGCTGGCCCAGATTTTTTTGTTTTTTGAAACACAATTTTAAAAGTATAGGATATGTGTACATTCTTATAAAATATTAAAGGACAGTGCAGAAGTACAGAGTAAAATATAAAATTTCTTTCCCCACCCTCCACATCACCCTTCATGAGGGCTGATTACTGTTGGTAATTTGGCATTTATCTTTCTTGTCCTTTTCCTGAGCATTTTCATACAAATACACATAGTTTAAAGAAAAAAATCCTATGAGAGACCTTATTCTATATATTGTTCTGGAATCTGCTTTATTCAAAAAAATGTCTCGGGGATTTTTCGAGGCCATACACAGGAACCGACTCTTCTTTTTAATAGTATCGTAGTAATCCATTGAAGAGATGCTGTTGAAGGATACATTTGCACTATTAACCAGTACTACAGTGAATGTTCTTGCACAAGTATTTCTGAAGTGGAGACTGCTAGAATGAGTCTCAGAGTATACATGTGGGAAGTTTTGGTACTCTCATTGTGCTACCCAAAAGGCCATGCCAGCTTATGCTCCCATCAACAGGTCTGTTTCACCCAGGCCCTAACCAGTGCTGATATTTAACCTTATGTATCTGTCTTACTAGTGAAAAGGGAGTTCTTTTTGTTTCATTTCCCTGATAATGAGTGAGGTTGAGCTTCCATTCATATGGAGATTGACATGTGCTCTCTAGTGGTGAATAAATCTTTGCCACTTTTCTATTGAGATATTTGGCTTTTTCGTATTGTTTGAGGTGGCCCTTTATATTTTCTGGATGTTAATTCTTCTGGATGTTTTCTATATGTATAGAAAATATATTTTTCAAGTCATCTTTTAACCTTGCATATAGAGCCTTTTGCTCTAAAGGTATTTGTAATTTTATATGGTTAGATCTATCAACATCATCTTTTATGGTTTCTAGGCTTTGTACCTACGCCTTCCTTACCCGAGTGGGGCGTTAACCTTTATTGCCATAAAATATTCTGAGTTTAAAAAAAAGGCATAATTGATAATCCATTTGAAATATATTTTTGTGAAGGTGGGCTGGCTGGTTAGCTCAGTTGGTTAGAGCACTGTGTCATGACACCAAGGTCAAGGCTTTGGATCCCCATACTGGCCAGATGCCAAAAAAATAAAAAGCCAAAATAAAAATATATATTTTTGTGAGTGGTGTGAGGTAGGAATCTCATTTCATAGTTTTCAAATTATTCCAAATCATTGACTAATTGTTCCTTTCCCCATTAACATGTAATACTACATTTATTATAAGCCAAATCCCCATATCAACAAAGGTGTATTTCTGGATACACGTTATGTTTATTTTTTTAGCCTTTTGATAAGGAGCCCTGTTCCGAATAGTGGAGTGTGTATGGAGAGTATAAAACATAGGTTCAGGGCCGGCCCGGTGGCGCACTGGAGAGTGCGCCGCTTGGGAGTGTGGCGGTGCTCCCGCCGAGGGTTCGGATCCCATGTGGAGACCGGTTCCCGCTCACTGGCTGAGCGCGGTGCGGGTGTGACACTGAGGGTTGCGATCCCGTTGCCGGTCCCTGGTATGGGCGTGACACCGAGGGTCGTGATCCCGTTACCGGTTAGTAAAAAAACACAAAAAGGAAAAAAAAAACATAGGTTCAGTTTTTAAGCAAGCTACATAGGAAAACCTCAGTAATTTGGGATAAGTCAGAGTGATGAAGGAAGGATATACCCATTAATTAAACAAATCAAAAAGCCTTGACATAGAGTGGTTTAAAAGGACATGTATAGGCTTCCATATTACAGAAGTTGAAACTAGGAAGCTGTGCTTGCTTGATTCACTTGTTTCTGCAGAATCCTTTTCCTGACACAGCAGTGTAGTATCCAGTGGCATCTACCCCATTCTAATCAATCTAGGTAAGCACAGCTGGGGAGCGTCGGGTGGGGCAGGAAGGATTGAATGGTGCTTTTTTCCCTGTCTAGTCAGCTAGTTAGGCTAGTTCCTGAAGGGACTATTCCAGTAGATATACTGGTGGTCTGAGATGTTTTAAGCAACTAAGGCATGCTTATGTAAGTAATAAGTAAATCCATGTGGAGGTTCCATCTCAGAGGTGCTCTATTACCTTTTCACGTTGTAAGTGCTGTTAATAGCTGCAGGTTGTGAGCAAACCACACAAGGCTGGTGCAGGCACAGCTGCAACGTGGCTTGCGGCTGAGCGCTGGCTTCTTTAGGGTTTGCCTGCTCATAGGAAGGTTGATTCCTTTTCTTAGCATTCTATCAACCACCCCTCTTGAATTATTTTTTAAAAATTAGATTTAGTTTACATATGATTTTACAGTGTGTGAATTTTATTACCAAACAAGCATTTAAAACCAGGCAGACAAGCATTTAAAACCAGGCAGCCTAAAAACAGGTGATGCAGTGACCTGTTTTAACCATTCTGAAGTCCCAAAGACTCTAGGCCATTTTAAGTTTTTTTTCTTGTTCTTCCTAGGCTTTATTAGCTTTGGGGTTAGACTTTTCACTTGGTTGGGTTTATTATTAATGTCCCCTAGCTAACCTCTCTTATCTGTGGGAGAAATGGAAAGTACCTGGAGAATGTGACCTGCTCCTGATCCAGTGTGCCTGCCATTTGTCCCCACCAGTGCACCTGCATTCCAGTGAAGCAGTAGTTATGCACTTTCTGTGTTAACTCTTGTGTTCCTCTGTCCTTCCTCACATCTATTTCACCAAATAGTTATTGCGTGCCCAGCACCGTGCCAGGTATAGGGATACAGAGATGAGTAAGACTCTACCCTCTAGGAACTCAGACTCCAGGACTGTGCATAAGAGAACATGCACTTGCCTGTGTGATTTAGGTGCAGGTTTTATCCTGATGAAAGCAGATATATATGATTACAGGTGCATTAGGTAGCACGAAAGAGGATGACAGATCAAGTGATGCCAAACTATGGTATATGAGCCATTTTATTAGGGTATGTGGGCCCAAACCTCAGGAATGTTTGGGACCCTGGTGGGTATGGGCACTGAAACTGTCTATAGTGCTTGCTGCTCAGTTCTTGTCCTCCTGTAGTTTACATTTGGGGTTTTCCTTGTCTCCTCCTCACCCAACAAACCTGATTACTTTTTCTCTTTAGGGAAAGCTGCCTACACGGATCACAGTTCCACTCTCTGTGATTAGCCAGCCAATGAAGGGCAAAGGTGTGGTCACAGCACCCATCATCAAAGGCAACCTCGGAGCCAAGTGAGTGCTGCACTGTCGTGGAGGGACGAACTCGGGCTGGAGGTGGGGGGGACAAGGTGTAAGGTCAGTCCTTACTGCAGAATGGGAAGGCAGCTGGCTTTGTGGGCTACTTCTTTGATACCCTCCTCTGTTGTCCTCATCATCAGTATTTATTGAGCACCTAGTACTGTTTTAGGTGCAGTGATTAAAAAAGAAATAATCCATGCTGTCTACAAGCCTACATTGTAGAGTGGGGAGAGAAATAATAAAAAAGTAATATATTGGGCAGTGGTACATACTGTGGAGAAAAGCGAGGAAGGGGGGGTGAGGTACTGGGATGGGGTCGGTGTGATGGGGCTCATGTGGGTATGAGGGAAGCCTCCCTCTGACATTTGAGCACTGAGCCTAAAACAGTTCAGAGGATGAGGGCTTCCTGTGGCCCTTACTGAAACGGTGGCAAAGGACATGGTGAAATCAGTCTGGCAGTATCAGGGCTGCTTGTGTGCCAAGGCTACTTGGGGGAGAGTTTCTTGCCAGGAGCACATACCAGTCTGGGGTGTGTTCTTTACTCTTGCTGGTCAGGGTGTGGAGCCTAGGGCCATTTTATCCAGAGCACTGGGGGACTTCTGGGCTCTGTCTTTCTTCCCACCATGGGAAGCATAGAAGCTAGAAGAAAGGTAGTATCAGCAGGTGGTTTCCATTTTGGTCCAGAATGCTGGAATTTTCACTGGGCACCAGACCTCTCTGTTGCCTTTCAGAGCACTGCCTAAATTTGGTCCAGGGAGAATATCCCATAATATTGTTATATCTCACTCCTGCTTTCCCTCCACAGCCTTAGCGGGTTGGGCCGCAATATCATCCTTACGACCATGCCAGCAGGTACTAAGCTCATTGCTGGCAATAAGCCTGTTAGTTTCCTTACTGCCCAGCAGTTGCAGCAGCTTCAGCAACAAGGTCAGGCTGCACAGGTAAGGTGTAAAGCAAACTCTTGGCCATATCAGGCTTCTCTGTTTCCTTTGTTGTTCTTAACTAATGAGCCCACTTGAAATCTGCTGACCAAACATTCTCTCTTTGCAAACAGGTGCGCATCCAGACTGTCCCCACATCCCATCTTCAACAAGGAACCGCTTCTGGTTCCTCCAAGGCAGTCTCCACTGTTGTTGTCACCACGGCTCCATCTCCTAAACAGGCACCTGAACAACAGTGATTAGGAGAGTGAGATGGCTTCCACGAAAGACCAGACCTGGTCTGTCCCTCTAGCTGAAAGGAAGGGAGCAGGGAGGTTGCATCATTCCTCTAAGCTTGTCTAAGGCAGGCCGGGAGGGCGTTGGTGACAACAGTGGCCTGAATTCTGCTGCCACGCTCCACAGTGGAGCATCCTGAGAAAGGTTCATTCCACGGTTTCAAGGTCTGCTTTGTGCTAATCCGGGAGAAGATTCTGTTGAAATTGTGGGAGGTCACAGTTATGTCATATGAGCCAGAGTTCTCTCCCGAGAGTGAGACACCCAGGGACAGCTGCTTGGTTGCAGAGTGCACAGTGAATAAGCCTCGCTGTATATGAGGATTGTGTTTTTAGCTTCTGGTCTTCTCCGTGACTAGTGATATGGATATGAGTTTTGTGTCCAGAAAATTTTATGTAACTTATTTTTTTAAAGAAACTATTATACATCCTTATCAAATAGCAACCTGGCTTTAGCCCCCGTAAACTGGTTACTTATTCTTTTGACCAGAATGAGCGAATAGCAAGAGTCTTAGTGAATTGGTGGCTGACTTGATATCTACATAGTAATCGAGAGGCTATAAGATGGGGAAAAAACATATGAAGGTGGTGTGGATTCCCTGAAATGGGACTAGTTTGGCAGTGCCTCTGAAAGATGGGGTGTTGGATCTTGATTGTGGTCCATGCCTTCCCCTGCTGACTTCATTCTTCTCAGGAAGCAGGTTCACAGGCAAGTCCGGGGCTGGTGGACAAGAGTAGCAGGATGATAGCAGAGATGCTGCTTCTGCAGCACAAACTTTGTTGCGGTTCAGAGATTATACATTTTGCTTTGCTCCAGAGCAGGAATCATAACTGGGCCCTTGGGGCTGGTCGCTTGTTTTTGTAAATAAAGTTTTACTGGAACAGCCCAGACCCATTTGTTTATGTATTATCCGTGGCCGCAGAGGATAGGTTATCAGAAGGCAGACTTGAGTGGTTGCCATAAAGACAGTATGGTCCTCAAGCCTAAACTATTTCTTTTATGGCCCTTTAAGAAAAAGTTTGCTGACCCCTGCTCCATAGTGGAGATGGCAAGAGAAGAGTGGGGTGTGCAGGGACAGGGATCTGCCTGCCTGGCAGTACCAACCGCAAAAGAGGTAGGTCTGGATTTGCAAGTCATTTAATCCTAGCCATGTCACACTTCTCAGCCTCTGTCAGCTACAAGGTGAGCTCACAGTGGTATTTTAAAACGTAGTAAGTAATTAAAGCACTGGTTGTTAACAATATATGTCTATTTTGTCTTGGGGCAGGGGTGGGTGATGAAGCTTTTCTGTAGTGACAGGGCTTCCCTTTCTCTCTTAAAAAAAGTATTCAAATTATTGAAAATGTATCTAATTTGTGGACATTTAGTGATGATCTTTTGTGGGTTCTAGGTGTGGAAGCAGAGCTAGAGGACACTGAATGGAATGGCCTAGTTTGGAGTTGGGTGGTTAGGCAGGTTGCAGAGGAGCAGAGAAGGGTTAGAACAGCTTATGGGTTACACAGTGGTTTTACAGACATTTCATTTGATTCTTAAGCAATTCTGTAAAATAGATGTGATCCCCCTGTATCTGTGAGAAGATGCGAGGCTGAGTTGAAAGTTAAAGAGAACCAAGGGATAAATCCAGCCTTCTGATTATAAGTCAGGTTCCCTCTGCTGCCTTCCTAAGGGGAGGGTGGCTGTGATGTCCCTGGGGACAGCCTGAGTCAGGAGGTGTGGAGTAGGCTGAGGTAAGGGTGAGCTCTGGAGGGGTGCGGAGAGGACTGGCACAGGCCCAACTGGTGGGGGTGAGGGTAGGGGCTGCAGAGAGAGGAAAGGAGAGTGCATCTGTGCTTTATAATGCTTCGGTATTTGCATATCAGTGTTATTTCCAAGAGTCACGTTTCCCCCGCAAAGCCATGTGACAGTTTCTAAATGAGAAAAAGGTAAGAATTTGAGAGATCCTTTCTGAGGTATTCATTGCTGGTTAAAAGTAAGCCCCTTCTGAATTTACTTAACAAATGATTGCATAAAAGTAGCTCTGTTCTTCAGCCTCAGCCCCACCCCGCACTTTGATTTCCTGAAGTTCCCTGCCTGTGCTTGTCTCCTTTGGGCACGCAGATGTGCACGTCCTGGAGAGCAGGGCTGTGAGGTGTGGGTCTGCTTTTGGTGGGTGGTGGGGTTGACTCCCTGGTGAGTATAATCGTGGCACTACCCAGCCTGTCAGCGGAATGACATAGAATGGAGACCCCCACTGAAGGCGTTCACAGTGACAACACCAGGTTTGCACCACGTGTGCTTCCTTTGGATGCTGACCTCAGGGTCTCCTGGAGATGGGGTAGCTGTGGCATGTGTTTTGCGGGGAGCCATTCCAGAAGAACTTCTGGTGGCAGCCATTGAGCCTCTGAGCCTCTGGTTGAAAGAGGTTGGTAAAATTATTCAGACAGTGTATTTCAGGTGGGATTTGGTGAATAGCATTGTGATCAGTTTTTACTTTAATGCCACATCTAAGAATGTTTACAAGAGGGTTGAGCACTTCCATGGAGGTCTCCCAAACCATGCTATCTGAAGGGATTCAAAATAAATTTTTATATTTTATATCTGATCTTCACACCTCAACCCCTCACTCTGGAGAAAAGACAACCTTAAAGTATTCTGCTTTAAAGAAAAAAAATCTCAAATAGAGATCTATTCTATGAAAGTAAAACTGAATAGGTTCCTTCTTCCTACTACCTCCAGCCCCTCGGGAGAGAACACATTTTATATTAACTGCCAGTGATAGGTCCTCCATTCCTTGTCGAATGAACGTTTGCATTCTTATTCAGCCAGCAAACCAAGGGGGATCCTGAAAGGGAGTTCTCTTCTCTAATAACAAATCACTGCTTTTAGTAGCTCATTTGAAATTGCTAAGCTGTGACTTCAGCTCTGAAAGGCTGGCCAACCATGGGAGGTTACCTTTCACCCAAGCACAGCATTCCTCCCAAAGAGCACGTGGTGCGTGTAAGTGGTCTCTCCTGTGTGTGTGTGACGTAGCAAGGTGCAGTGGTGAGGGAGGCGCTGGGTTTTTGAGTCATGCTGAAGACCGGTTCTGCCACGTAGCAGCTGTGTGACCCCCGGTTGACCAGCTTCTCAGAAGGACCTCCTGCACTTGGATCATAGGCGGTTATGGGAACTGCATGAGGTAGAGTGTGTCTCAGAGTCTGAAAAATGCCGTGCAAATGAAGGGTATAATTTGATCCCTGAGACCCTTCAACTGTGTCCTAACTCACTTCTGTCAGTTTATAGAACTTCATGTATTTGACTCTCCATGCTCTTTCCTGCGTTCACTGTCTTTGTGCCTACTACTCCCTCTGCTGGAATGTACTTTTTTGGCACATTTGGAACGGGCAAGCTTCCCATTTCTCCAGTCCCCTTTCTGTCTCACCTCCCACAGTGCCCATCACATTGTATACAACTGTCTGCATGTCTCTCCCATAGGACTGTAAACTCCTTGCTGGAAACACAATCTCATTAATCCTTACAACCATTTCAGTGTTGGTGCATAGTGTTTAAGAGATATTTGTTGAAGGAAGTTAAAAAACAAACAAAAAAACCCAACAGTTCCAGAACCAAGACTAGAGTATCAGGATTTTATATTACTAATTCAGAGTTCATATTCTTTGTAAGATTTGTATCCTTTGCTGTCAGCTACGTTACAATTCAAGGCTTTCCCATAACCAGACATTTTTCTCTCAACCTCATTATACAGATTTCTTCTCAGATCATCTGTTAGGGTAACTCTGAGGAGTCAGAACATCTGAGTTTCAACTCTCACCTGGATCACTAGCTTCCTGATTAAAAAAAAACAAACCAAAAAACCACCTTTGGTCTAATTTTGTCACTTATCGACACAGTATTGCAGTACTCTCGTGTGATTAGTTAGGAAATGTTTTAACAAGTAATATTTAAAATACAAAAGCTTGCAGATTATTTTACTTTTAAAAAGTATATATGTTAGAATTGTTTTCTCAAAAATAAAGGCATCATTCACTTACATTCTGATATCTTTCTGGTAATAAAGTACCTGCTTTTCACAGGCTTAATTTCTCTTTACACTGTGACAAATGGTTGCTGCTTACAGGTATTACTTCATTTTTCTCTGTGAAGGATACTACACCAGCACAGACTTTAAATTGTTATGTTCAGATATCCATATAGCAAGATACACAGAACACCAACTTTGGTGGAGGTTCCTGATTTAGAACCTCCAACCTTGTATTAAATGAGGAGGTACAAATGTATAGAACCTTAAGAGCAGACCAAAGCAAGCACAACAATGGAGGGGATATGCTACGTTTGCTCCAGCTTTTCAGGCTCCACAGGAAGGGGCTTCTCTGCCCTCTCCATGGCCTGACCTCATTCCTCATCTGAGCCACTCAACAGGGCAGTCTGGTAAGTGTCATCCGACTTCAGCTTCTGAATCCCAATGATTTCTCCTCCTCCATGTGTCTTCAACCGACTCAAAAGGCTGTAACAGAGGATAAGAGCCAGTGAGCCAGAAAAATTCTCTTACTCCTTCACCCAAGGATGTGAAGGCATCTGCTGGTTCTTAAAGCATTTTCTTTTATGTCTCTAACAGATATTGTGATTGAATGTTTGCATATCTGAGTTCTCAGACAGGATATTATTCATCAGTAGGTAGAGACTTGTGGTTAAAATTACTGAATGTTGTTATTGAGGCAACTTAGGTCTCTTCCAGTTTAGTTTCACTTACTGGGCAGTAGAACTCAAAGAAACTGACTTGAGTTCCCTTCTATTTGGTCTTTTTGTGAGTGAATTGTATCTGCTTTAGGTCTAGGGAAATAAGGACCTAGAGAGAAACACAGGGACAGCTCAACAGCAATAGAGCTGGTAATACCATATGCTTGAAAATTACCCTTGCCTTGTGGTTAAGACCAGGGCTCTGCCATTTACTAGTTGGATGACCTTGGGCAAGTTACTCAGCCTTCTGAAGCCTTGGTTTCCCCCTCTATAAGAGATAACAGTACAAACTTTATAAAACTGTGAGGGTGAAGTGGGATGATAGAGTGTAAACTTTCCAAAGTGCCTGTATCACAGCACGTGCATAGGAATTCATAGCTATTAATCTGTACACCTCTAAAAAGCACTTTCTGCTCTGGCGTATTTTTTGATTGTCACCTCTGTGGGAAGTAGGCAGGGCAGGTCCAGAAATAAGGTGCTGGTGCCAGAGTGAACCAGTAACAGCAGGGACTAAACCCAGTACTGATTACTAATGCAGAGCTTTCCCCATAACACCAAAGGCTCAAAATCTGTCAGAACTGCATTTGAAATGATTAGGCTACTATGACCCAGACAGGTCCTTTTTTTTTTTTTTTTTGCTTTTTGTCTTTTTTCGTGTCCGGCAACGGATCACAACTCTCAGTGTTGCGCCCGTACCGGACCGGGACCGGCAACGGGATCGCAAACCTCGGTGCTGCGCCCGCACCTCGCTCAGCCAGTGAGCGGAAACCGGTCTGTATGTGGGATCCGAACCCTCGGCGGGAGCGCCGCCATGCTCCCAAGCAGCGCACTGTAGCAGTGCGCCACTGGGCCGGCCCCAGACAGGTCCTTTAATTTTGCAAAACCTCATGATCATTTGCAAAAAAGAGTAGTGATTCTTCCCCTGCGGGTGCAGAATACCTTGCAGGGAAATTGGCATATATTTGGTGATCATTAAGTGGTGGAAGGTAATCAAATCAGTACTGCTTAGGGGTTAGGTAGGAAAAAGCAAGAGTCGTCGTTCAAACATACCAGTAGACAAGAGCGTAGTTGGTGGCCACAATGCAGATGGCAACCAAGTAGTGCCAGCAGAAGCACATGGTGATGAACATGATGTTTGCCTCATCTTTCTGGTCCCATTCAGGGGTTCCAAAAGGTGGAAACAGCACAAACCCAATCTGGTGGGTAATACAAAGTTGTGGTCTTATGGTTAGTTGTCTTGAGAAGTGACCTAGCCACCTCCCTGAGGCCACCTGTGTCTCGTACTTTCCCACTACCTCCCAGTTCCTGCACTGCCATTAGCATAGGAAGGCCTTTCCACACAGGAAGACTGCTTTAAGTTAATTTTGGTTTTACTATAGGCTCATTTAAAAACAAAACTGCAGGGCCCACATTTCAGAGTGAGCAATTTAGGAAGTGGAGCCTGTAAAAGGTATCAGTTCTTTCCACTGGGGAGGGCAGCTTGGGAAATAACTTTATCTGCTCACTGTGTATGTTCCCTAGATTTTTGCTTATTAATGTATCAGCAGGATATTAATGGATAAAATTACACAGGTCAAAGGGTGGGCGTGGGGAGAAGGGTGGTACAGTGGTGCTGCCATTTCCAGCAACATGTTCCCTTCAGGACCTCTCCTGGACATGCTCAATGTGCTCTTCAGTCAGACCATGCAAGGAGCACTGATGTGAATAATCACCTGCCAGAACCAGGTTCCTTGAAGAATGGCGAGACTGGTTCGGAAAAGTTCCAGCACAATATTGTCCCGGAAGATCACCTCTAGGGAGACACTGGCACTCCCTCCAAACAGAGCAAACAGCAGGAGAGAGTGGATGTGCTGGTCCAGTGGCGGTCGGTTATGAACGTGGTAGTAGAAGAGAAAACCTGCCGCAAACCAAATGACAGCCATCAGAGATGTGCTTTTTTCCTCCTTCAGAGGAGACACTCTGGACTTATCCCATTATTGGAATTTCCTCCCACACTTGTCTCAAAGCTAGGTTCTTCAGCATTTAGGAAGTCAGTTTACCTAGCGTTGCAGGCAACAAACATGCAGATCAAGTTTATTTTGAGTATAAGCAGCAAAGAATGTAAATACAGAATCCATGGTCGGGTTCAATTCAGGATGGGTAGGAACATGTTGCTGATTGGTAACAAATCACGTATGTGGGTACTGAACTTCAGCACTGCCCTTGTTCAACTTTCTTTTTTCAACTCTTTCTGGGAGGTACAGAAGTGAGGTGGTTGGATTTTTTCATACCCCAGTTAATGCGAGTCATTGGGAGAGCTCTCAGCAGCTGGGTGGGTCTCTTGAGATTTGTGATGGAGGCAAGACAGTAGCCCCAGGGTGAGGGGAGGCATGCAGTTTCTCTTTCCTGCGTTGTGGCATTCAACCAGTTTTGGGACTTTTTATATGTATGCATGTATATGTACACACCCCCCTCCCCGCCTCAGAGTGTGTGTGCACCTGCACGAGCAGGGGGTGCTGTCAGCAGAGGGCTGGGGAACTGCCTAAAAGCCTCAAGCTTTCATGGGCTGCTTTATGGAATATGTCATCTGGACCACCCAGAGCATAGGACTGAGTCCTACTTAGCTTTTGGAAGTCCAGAGATTTGAATTTTCTGGGGAAGGTTATTATGTATTTACAATATTTCTGGTCTTTCATACTCTGATTCCTCATAATACAACTTGTCAGTCTCTCTTCCTTTCCTCCATCTGTTCCACTAAGTTACCTTCAGTGAATATCGACACAGCCATAACCAGTCTGTCTATCCCCAAAGGAATGTGGGTGACCAGATAGGTGAGCATATCAACGATTCCTGAGACAGCGAAGAACAGGTACATGGTGCTGTGCTGCCAATTCATTAACTTCATCCAGTGGTTTTCATGGTAGAGGTGCAGATGGGGTCCATCTGGAACAAACTGCTCTGCCAGGATCCCTGCAGGGAAATGAGATGGAGCGCAGGATATGCATGCATGCATTGGAACAACTCACTGAACCCCACAAATATCTATGAGTAAATGCTAAAAAATGAGTGGAAATTAAGGCAAGAGTAGCTCCAAGACAAATAGGAGAACAGTGAAAATGAACCCAAAGGTACGAACGAAGTCAAGATATGGGTGACAGTGGCCTATGGGTCAGCAGACCAACTTTGCTGCCACAGGTGCAGCTACTTCAGTATAAAATAGAGTGCTGAGTAACCTGTGTAGACATCTTGCCTTTGTTCCTTTTAGGGGGCCGGGGGCCGGGAAAGAAGCAACAGAAGTGCAGCCACACACAGGTCCCTGGCGATTTGTCCAGTAGCAGAAATGAAAGCAAGGTATCATCACTTAAGTGAGAGTGTAGATGATACATTAATCTGGGCTCCCCTGCCAAGTGAGCAGTGAAACAAACCCCAGGAAGAAACCATTAGGTGGAAAATAGAATCCAAGCAGAGACATGCTGGTGATGGAGACACCTGTACACGCCTAAGAATGGGACTCAGCTCCCAGGTGTGTGCCAGGGCAGACATCAGGTGAGGGCCTTCGCTAGACACATAGGCCCTGTGAGCTCCGGGTTCCTTCCAGCTCTGTTTAAAACACTGGGAGATCCCTCTGCAAATCCACTGCATCACTGTGGTCTTTCTTTCCTTCATCTCTTAGCTCCGCCTTATGAGTGAGTACATATGTTATTTATCCCTCTGTGCTTTGCTTATTTCACTCAACAAAAATTTCTCCAAGCTTGTAGAAGGAGAGAACATACCTAGGGATACAAAGTGGAGTGGGGAAAGGGGGATGGGGAGGAAGGCTGAGGATATTTGAGGGGATAATTGGGTGGGGGACACGGGGTATAATCACAATTTGTGGTAATGGACATGCTGCCCGTATGGACCAGGCCATCACATCTTAGGCATGAGTGGTGACAATTTGCTTTGTACTCCATGAATATTCATAACCAATAAAAAAAAAAACATTAAAGACAAAAACAAACGAAACACTGGGAGAAGGTGGAGGCCCCTCAGTGTGCTTCCGGCCATTCTGTATCTTAGAAGAGGCAAGCTTTACAGACTGGCCTGAAAACTGATGAAGCTGTGCCACAGGGGAGCGCTCTGTTCTTACCCTTCTACTTCTATCACCAATTTGAAAGGCAGAAGGTTTGCCATCATGCCTGGTGCCCATAACGTTCTTGGGGAAGCTGAGAAGCCATCCTCCGTGACAACATTCTGGACCCTGTTCCCCAAACATCTGTTTCTCAAACCAACCCCTTTCTGAATTCATGTATAAAGGATCAGGGAGTTGGTGAAAATGACTCAGGAAAAGTCCCGTGACACTAGGGTGGAAGCTCTATGACAGCAGGGACCATGCTTGGTTCCCATGGTGTCCCCAGTATCTAGAATAGTGAGTTTCTGTTACGTGATAGAAGCTCAAGGGATAGCTGTTGAGTGAGTATTATTTTCACCCAGCTGAGAGGCCAGATATTTTTCTAGCTTTATTTAGGCAAAGTTGATGCTTTCCATTTTAACCTGTCACTTCTCAGCTCCAGAAAGATTCCTGAGTGGCTGGTGAGTGGGAAAGCTCAGCTGGACTAGGCAAACAGGACCACGGAAGCTTTGCCTACTCCAAGAGAAGCTGCTGCTGTTCCTTCGTTCCCTCCTGAGAAACCTGCTGAAGATGACAAGTGGCAGAATGCAGCTGCAGAGTAAGATCCCTCGCTGCCCATGTGTCGGGCTGATCCTGAGGAAGCACACTTACGACTGTAGCCACTGCTTGTTCCTTGAGGGCCACCAGTGGAGTGGAGTGGGTGACAAGTAACAGTGGAAGGGGTGGATATTGGAAGAAGTGGGCAGAAAAGGAAAATCTCTCCAACAGCTCTCTCCTGGCTTTGTTCTCTACCACTGCCTGTCTTACTATCCTTCCAGCATAAACTCCCCCTCTCTGTAACTGCTGCAGATTTGAGGAGGGGGGTAAGCCAATGAGTTGGGTGTTAACTGCTCTGAGACTCTAGAGACAATTGAGGAAAAGAGACGATTTTTCTAAAACTCTAAACTCTGTTTAGTACTGTATTATAACTCAGGCACATGAGTCTAATCTATTTTAATTTGTTCTTTTTTCTAATTTGTGTTATATCTTTTCATACAGTGTGTGTTCTGTGCCTATGACTTTCTATACCTATGTCCTCATAGGGCAAAAAAATATAGTTTGGGGCTGGCCTGGTGGCGCACTGGATAGCGTGCCGCTTGGGAAGCGCGGCGGCGCTCCCGCCCGAGGGTTCGGATCCCACATACAGACCGGTTCCCGCTCACTCACTGAGCGAGGCGCGGGAGCAACACCGAGGGTTGCGATCCCGTTGCCGGTCCCGGTCTGGTACGGGGGTGACACTGAGGGTTGCGATCCGTTGCCGGACACGGAAAAAGACAAAAAAAAAAAAAAAAAAAATATATATATATATTTAGTTTGATTTTTTTTCATAACGCACTATGAAATAAGATGTTATTAGCTATTATTATT